GGCCAGCCCAGGGCCTCCTGGGGCAGCAGGAACAGAGAGGGACTTGTTGCCTGGGGCCAGTCTCACCTCCTCCCAACTGTATTTCTTGGCCCACCCACTCCCTCGCCTCCACCCTGGCTCCCTGCTTCAGAGGGCACCTCACAGTCTGTTGGGCCCCTTCCCTTCCACTTCCAAGGCAAGATTGGGCTGGAAATATTCTGGCCTCCACCCACTCTTCTGGCCAACCCCCAGGAAACCTATCTTCTAGCTCCCTCCCTGCAGCATCAATGGATGACATGGTCCTGGGAACCCAGGCTGTGTGCTCAGCTCACTCAACTTTTATTTATAATCATTGCTACCATGCCTGGGTACAGACATTAAGTTATATAGGCCTCACAGAAACCCATTTTACTGATAAGGAAACTGAGGTTCAGAGACGTCTGATGCTTTATCCATAGTCACACAGCTCGGACATCCAGTGCCAGGCCTGTCTGATACCAGAGTCCAGGATACAAGAGACTTACAAGTATGACCACCGTCGGGCACACGCCAGTCCAAGCAGGCTGCTTGCTGGTGGTGTTTGAGCTCAGCAGGACTTGGGAGCCGGGGTCCCAGAGCAGTTGTAGACTAGGAGCAGCAGCTCTGGGTATAATTCCTCCAGGCCCCTCTGGGGTGACAGCGTCAGTTCGGATAGGCCGTATGTGGGGCCTGGAGGTCGTGAGCTGTGTTTATTTTACCCTGCCTGTGCTTCAGGTTTGAAGGTGCCTCTGCAGATGGCAAGGCAAGGCCTCCCCAGGAAACCACCATCTGTCCAAACGAGTGGGAGGCGCTGGCACGTCACCATCCACCCCTCCCACACGTCAGTCGAGGCTGGTGGGCCCAGCACACTTTTCTCTGAGCACCTGTTCTGTCCTCTCTTGGGCAAACCAGGAGCTGAGTGGGAGGTGCAGAGGTGGCTCTGGCGGGAGACCAGATCAGGCCCGAATCCCCAGTGCGAAGGCGCCAGGGGACACCTTATTATTTTTTCAATATTTATTTATTTTTCTGCGTCAGGTCTTAGTTGCAGCACAAGGGGTCTTCGTTTAGTTGTGGCATGTGGGATCTAGTTCCCTGACCAAGGATCGAACCTGGACCCCCCTACCACTGGCCACCAGGGAAGTCCCCAGGGGGCACTTTAACTGAGGCTATGGGGCAGTCTGTCCAGGCGAAAGGTGGAAACTGTGGAGTCGCTCAGCCATGCTCGCTCCTTCCAGGATTGCCTGAGCCCCTACAATAGCCCATCCTGTGCCCAGCATGAGAATCCTGTGCCCAGCATGAGAATCCAGCAGACAGTGAGGCACCGAGTCTGGATGTGGAAACAGTCGTGCTCATCACTGCTTGTCCAGGCGTGGGCCTAGCTGAGAAGCAGGCTTCTGGGTCCTGGGCCCATCTCAGCCATCCCTTCCATTGCTGTGTGGCCTCACAGCTCCCTGCCCCTCCCTGGGCCTCCGTCCCACCCCCTGGACAATGACGGGGAATGAGATGTTCTCTGAAAACTCCTCCTTCTTGAGGTCCATCGTTTCCAGGCAACGTTATGTGGTCAGAATCCCGAGATCCGATTCAGTGCCCAGAGGAGGTGGGGCAGATGGTTCTTCAGGATCTTGGATTCCTTGCTGAATTTTGGGAGGATTCTCCAAAGGAGGGGTGCTGAGGACAGGAGGCTTTCCTTGGCAGCCCCCTCCAGCTGCTAAGTGCCCACTCTGTTCCAGGCATGGGCTAAGGCTCCAGGAATCATTCTGCAGCCACGCGTGGTCATATATGATGCCTTGTTTGGATCATGTGGTTTACAGCTGAGGATCCTGAGGCCCTGAGGGTGAAGCCACTGGCCCAGGGGCACCAGGCTGGGGAATGGCCAAGTCAGTACTCGAACCCAAGGGCCTCTGCCTGGCGCCGGTTCCTCATCACTGAGCCAGGAGCCTTAAACTTGGTGGGAACATGGGGATTGTGTTTAGAATCCAGATTCCCACCTCCGCTCCCCTGCCCACCCCAACCCTGAAGATTCTAACCCAGCCTGTCTGAGGAATGTGCATTTGAACAAGCCACCCAGGGGATTCTGAGAGCCTGGGCCAGGGCCAAGATGGGGCCCCTGGCCACCTGGGGCGCCCATCCCCACCCCGGCCTGGGAGATCTGGGTCTGAGTAGGCACTGCTCCCACACATGCCCTGTGCTCTAATCTCTGCTTCCCATAAGCTGCTTGTCCTTTAAGTAGCCCTGGGAGGCAGCAACTCTGAGCAGGCTGGCCCAGACCCCTGATCACCCCTCCAGCTGGGCCCTGGGTTCTCCACACCCTCTACGTGGCACCTCAGGGACCTCCTCCCCTCAGGCCTGCCGGGGCCAAGTGGGTCCATCTGTGCAGGTTGGGGGGTGGTGCTCTCAGGCTAGAGCTCCAGGGAAGGTTCATGTCTCTGCCTGGGGAGGGGCTCTCTGTGGGGAGTCCCATCCTTTCTAGCCCCGCCTGTAGTTTCCATGGCAACAGTTGCCATGGTATAGCTGGGTGAGGAGAAGATGGGGAAGAAGGTAGACCCCAGGTCCCCATATCCTCCCCAGCCTCTGTGAGCCGAGATGCCCTATCTCTCCAGTCCTGGCGGGGGGGGGTTCCCAAGTACTAGGGGGTCACGCCTGCAAAGCAGTCAATGAGTAAGGGGTAAAGACAGAGACAGGAATTCCCCCCACCCAAAGTTAACCACCTCCCCCTCTGTGCTCCCTGGTGCACCTCCGTTCCAACACATGTCACACTGCATCACATTATCTGTTTACTTGTCTGTCTCTCCCACCACGCTGTGAGCTCCTCAGGGTGGGAACCGTCTGACTCATCACCTCCCATCCCCAGGGCCCAGCACAGGGCCCGGCACAGAGCAGCTGCTCCCAAATATGTTCTACACTGAATTTAATTGAATTACATAAAAAGCCAAGTCTGGCTCCTCAGGTTTAGGGGGCAGCAGAGTTTGATGGGAAAGTTCCTAGGCTCTGGGGTCCAACAGCAGCGGGTTTGATTCCCCGGCTCTGCCATTCCTGACTGGGTGACCTTGGATGAGTCATTTCACCTCTCTGAGGCCTTGGTTACCTCATCTGTAAAGTTATCTTCTCCATATAAGAGCACTTTTTGAGGACTTGGGGATTCAGTTCCCTTTTATTATTTGTTTTTGGTTCCATTGGGTTTTCATTGCTGCTCGCGGGCTTTCTCTAGTTGGAGTGATTTGGGGGCTACTCTTCATAGCAGTGCACAGGCTTCTCGTTGCGGTGGCTTCTCATTGCAGAGCATGGGCTCTAGATGCACTGGCTTCAGTAGTTGTGGCGCACTGGCTTTGTTGCTCCGTGGCATGTGGAATCTTCCCTGACCAGAGATCAAACCTGCATCTCCTGCATTGATAGAGGGCTTCTTATCCACTGTACCACCAGGGAAGTCCTCAGTGCCCTTTTTTTAATTTAATTTTTTGGCCATGCCACATGGCATGTAAACTTTGTTCCCTGACAAGGAACTGAACCCGCGCCCCCTCAGTGCCCATTTATTAAGCACCTCTTGTGACGGAAAAGTGCAAGCCCTGCCCTTCTGAGCCTCACAGTCTTGCGCAAATGAAAAGCATTTGCCTGGCACCTAGAAATGATGGATAAATGCAGGATTTATCATCCTCCTTCCCCATAAAGTGGCTGACTCCTCATTAGTCTCTGCTCTCCCCAGAGGTGGGGCAGGGTGAGGACAGAGAATGGAAGAGCCCTTCCCAGGGCCCCCAGATGCTGCCTTGAACCCAGAAGCCTGGGCCGATTCTGTTGTTCCTGGGACCCGGTGCCCTTAACCTGAGCACAGAAAGCTTTGTGAGTCCAGGTTGGGCTCTGAGCTCAGGATAGGGCATCCAGGTTTCTGCTCTGGCTCTGTCCCAGCCCTATAGTATCTTAAGTATATCCTTTCCCCTCCCTGGGCCTTCATGAGCCTCACCATGAAGGAGATCTCTGTGGCCCCTCAGCTCCCCTCTTTCCTGAATCCTGGCAATCCCATGATTCCAATCCCAGTAGCCTGATCCCTGGAGAGGCCTCCACCATCATACTTGTGCTGACTTGGGTGGGGCTGTGGGTGGATGGGTGGGGTGATGAAAAGAGCTGACAGGACAGAGAGAAGTGGCACCCTGAAGAGTTAGCCAAAAGGACTGCTAAGGCTGAAATTGACATAACAGATGTCTAAAGAATAGATATCAGGTCTACAGGCAGAAAGTGACTTGGGGACCCCCTACATCCAGTCATTCAAAAGGAGCTGGGTCTTCTGGGAGATGATGGGCAGAAAGCCTTCACCAGAGAGTCAAACAGATCTACTGCAGAGTCTGGTAGATACAGGCTGGACAACATGAATATCTCTGAGCCTCAGTTTCCTCATCTGTAAAATGGGGATAATAATACTGTCTTCCTAGTGAGGCTATTGTGTAGAGTCCATGAAATATTGCCCACAAAGAGTCAGGCATGCGGTAGGCACTTAAGAAGCATGAGTCCTTTTCCTTGTTTCCTCCTTCCCCTCATCCCCCTCATCCTCAACCACAGCCAGATGGGGCCAGGAGAAGGGGAAGTGAGATGCTGCCTTTCCCCATAGCAGAAAGGAGGGGAGGAAGTGCAGCTCTGTTTCCTTGGCACCCACTCTGTGGCCACTGGACATTTGGGCATTGGGGTGGGGCACCTCATGCCTCAGTTTCTCCTGAGTTGAATGGCAGTGACTGAGTTGGGGCAGGGACTTCCTGTTGGCTCAGAACCAACACAGGGCAGACTGTGAGAGAGGTCTGGGGGTGAGTTCAGACTCACAAATTCTGTGACCCAGAGGAGTTGAGGGTGATCTTTTCCACCTTTCTCAGCTGCCATCTCCCTTTAGTGAATCTCTTGGGCTGAGGTGTGGTGAGGCACTTCTGGGGAGCTTTGAGGCCCCCGGTGGCAGGACAGGCGTCCCTGGGACACAGGGAGCCTCCTCAGACCTTGACTTTCCTCTCACCCCCAACTCACTGCAGGGACTTCTTGCCCCGAGGGTCTGGCATTGTCACGCGACGCCCCCTGGTCCTGCAGCTGGTCAATGCTACCACAGGTATGGGCTTCCCCTCTTTGGACCTCATTCCCCATCTGAACAGCGGGGATAAAAATGCATAACGGAGAGGTGGCCTTGTTGTCCGGGGAGGAAGAAGAAGGCAGTGTTGTGTGTGTTTGTGTGTGTGTGTGTGTGTGTGTGTGTGTGTGTGTGAAGGGTCTTTTCCCAGTGGGAGATGAGACCCAGTTAAGCTTTGGTTATGATGCTTTCTCCCCCGCGCCCGGCTCCTTCTGGGGCAGAATATGCCGAGTTCCTGCACTGTAAGGGGAAGAAATTCACTGACTTCGAAGAGGTGCGCCTGGAGATTGAGGCTGAGACCGACCGGGTAACAGGCACTAACAAGGGCATCTCTCCAGTGCCCATCAACCTCCGCGTCTACTCGCCGCACGGTGAGATCTGGCCCTGGCCCCGCCCCCAGCCTCTCAGCTCCCTCGCCGAGCCCCGCCCCTTGGGGGACCATCTTCTTGGCCCCGCCCCTTAGCGACGCCTCAGGGCTTCACTCTTCCTCGGCGCGGCTCATTCTGGGCCCCCAACCGAGCCGTGGCTCCGCCCACCTCTGGCCACTCCTCTAACGGGTTTCCGTTTTAGCCCTCCTCGTTTCCCTAACCCCACCCACCTAAGGCCACGCCCCCAAACACGTCCTAAGCCTGGCCCTGTTCCTTAATCCGCCCGCCCATGGCCACGCCCCTCGCCTTGAGCCCGCCCTCTCGCCGCCCTGTCCAGTGCTGAACCTGACCCTAGTGGACTTGCCTGGAATGACCAAGGTCCCGGTGGGGGACCAACCTCCCGACATCGAGTTCCAGATCCGGGACATGCTTATGCAGTTCGTCACCAAGGAGAACTGCCTCATCTTGGCCGTGTCCCCGGCCAACTCCGACCTGGCCAACTCTGATGCCCTCAAGGTCGCCAAGGAGGTGGACCCCCAGGGTAGGTTCCCACAGGCGGCCGACACGCAGGGCCCCGGGGGTCTACTCACAGTGTAAGGGGGAGCCACTGGAGGGTCTCAGCGAATAGCAGTGGGATCATATTTATGCCTTTAAAAGTCGTTTGGGCCACCGTGGAGAATGAATGGGGGGCGGAGCACAGGCAGGCAGTGAGTGAAGGAGGGAGAGGACTTGGGAGATAGTGGGAGTGTGGTGGGATCCAGAGTGCCTGGGGTCTCCTGTATGAGGGCGAGGTTAGGTGTAGACAACCCCCTCCTGCCACACCCTTCCCCCCAGGTCAGCGCACCATCGGGGTCATCACTAAGCTGGACCTGATGGACGAGGGCACAGATGCCCGCGATGTTTTGGAGAACAAGCTGCTCCCGCTGCGCAGAGGTAGGCAGGCCATGCCCCTGACCCACGTGACAGCCCTTCCCTTTCACCTCCAGCCCCTCACTCCCTGCAAGGCTGAATGACCCTTGACCTCCACCCCACCCACAGGCTACATTGGAGTCGTGAACCGAAGCCAGAAGGACATCGATGGTAAGAAAGATATCACAGCTGCCTTGGCTGCTGAACGCAAGTTCTTCCTCTCCCACCCTTCCTACCGCCACTTGGCTGACCGCATGGGCACACCCTACCTGCAGAAGGTCCTCAACCAGGTAGGGGCTCAGGCCAGGATGTAGTCTGGGAAACCAGCATGAGAGAGAGTCACTGAAGTGTATTTTGGGAGGGTTGCCCACTGTCACACAGCAAGTTAGCACCTGAGCTTCGCTGCCCCTTCCCTGTCTGGGGCCAGGAGGGGAGCCCTCGAACCCTCCCAGGATGGAGGGTGGCATTGACAGGGGCTTGGGCTTAGGGGCTAGGACTGGAGCATGCTTGGCTGAAGACCTTTGTTCCTTCTGAAATGGGGAGAGGCTGATCTGAGGACAGGTGATCCCAGGGGACTCCTTGGATATTTCTCTGCCTGAAATGGGGCTTCCAGAATCACTGGTGTGTGTGTGTGTGTGTGTGTGTGTGTGTGTGTGTGTTGATAGTAGGGAGGCAGTGTGACGTGGGGCAAAATTGGGGTCCCTCGAGGCCATACACCTTGCTTCCAATCTCAGCTTCGCCACTCACCCACCAAGACTTTCCAGCTCTCTGAGCTTCTATTTCTGCATCTGTAAAATGGTGATAAGACCCATTTCTTACAGTCATTGTGCAGTTCAGGGAGATACTGTGTGGGGGGACCTAACCAGAGTGAGTCCCAGAACTTGAGAATTACCTTAAGGGAGGCCTTAAACTTAGAGGGCACAAGGGGGCAGTCTTCCAGTCATCACTGCCCCTGATTTAGTTCACCTGGCTCTTGTGGTGTCTAACACTATTGAATTAGTCAAAATCAAATGATTTCCAATAAAAATCTAAATTTCTGGCTTCTATTAAAAATGGCATTGTTGACTCATTAGTTCAATTAAAACACCTCTGTGAGCACCTACTGTGTGCCAGGCAGCTTTCATTCTGGTGGGCAGGGCAGTGGTGGGCAGGGCTGTAGCTCTGCATCTCACCATGTCCACATGGACACCAGACATCCTGGTCCCTGCCTGGTCCTGTGGGCCTTCTGGGTCTCTGTGACCATGGTCTTCACGCTTTCCTCGCCCCTACCCCCAGCAACTGACAAACCACATCCGGGACACGCTGCCAGGGCTGCGAAACAAACTCCAGAGCCAGCTGCTGTCCATCGAGAAGGAGGTGGAGGAATACAAAAACTTCCGCCCTGATGACCCAGCGCGCAAGACCAAGGCTCTGCTGCAGTGAGGCCTTCCCCAACCCCTGACTCCCCATTGCGGAGCTGCCCCTCCCGCAGCCTCTCAGCACCACTGGGGCTCTCCCTGGGCTCTCTGCACTGGCCTGCTGCTGCCTCTTAGGTGACACCACTCTCTCCCCAGGATGGTCCAGCAGTTTGCTGTAGACTTTGAGAAGCGCATCGAAGGCTCAGGGGACCAGATTGACACCTATGAACTGTCGGGGGGCGCCCGCATCAACCGGATCTTCCATGAGCGCTTCCCTTTCGAGTTGGTCAAGGTAGGCAGGGCCCCCCCCACCCTGGGGCAGGAGGGCTCACCTCCCTCCCACCCACTCACCTACCTGGAACTCTCTCACACGTATGTTGGCTGACTTCACTAGAGGCTCTGCTGCCAGTCCTGGGAGTGGGGTGCAGCCTATCCTGACCTCCTAAGTACCAGCAGAGGCCCTGACCAGCCATCTCTTGGTCTCCTACACAGATGGAGTTTGACGAGAAGGAACTCCGAAGGGAGATCAGCTATGCCATCAAGAATATCCATGGCATTAGGCACGTATGGGGACCGGGGAGGGAAGCCGAACCCTGGAAGGCAGAAGGGGTCTAGCGCAGAGGTAGAGGGAGTGATGCAGTGAGCTCCCCTCGGGAAGGATGAGGAGCCCTAGTGCTCAGCCTCCTCAACCCCGACTTTCTGGCTTCCAACTTGGACAGGCTCTGGCGAGGGGCACTGGATAGGAGACCTGGGCTACCCCAATACTTGCAGCCTGCTGCCTTCCTTTGCCTGTTCCTAGGTACAAGGCTTGGCAGCTAGACTAGCTGGGTAGAGCCCAAGGCACAGGTGGCAGGGGAAGCACCCTCTGGGCTGGGTCCCACCAGCCGGCTCCAGCACAAAGTTGCCCAAACCAATGGGTAGGGCCTGAAATAGGCCACCAGGTGTTGGTCTGTGAACCTTTTGTGATGAAATGAGGCCTCTCAACCCTCCAGACCCTCCCATGATCCCCTTAGCCCAAAGTTGGCCCCATTCCGCCCCACTTCCCTCCTTCCAGCCAACACTAAGGCCAGTGGAGCAGGAAGGAAGACTGGGAAATAGACCGGTCCTTAAAATCTTAGCCTCTGCTCCAGGGACCCAGAGCTACACTGATGCTTCAACAAGAAAATTTAAAACACCCACTATGTGCCCAGGCAGTGAACCAGACCAAAATGTCACTGCTTTTATGCAGGTTCCATTCCAAGGTTTGGCATGAAATTTACACACTGCATTGGCTAAGGCACAGGAAGAAAAAAAATCTCTCTGCTAGTCTTAAAATAAAACGCTTTCTTCCCAGAAAGGCTCTCAGAGACAACCCAGTTCAGCAGTTTTCAAACCATTTCTAGCCACAGAGCCTTTTGTAGGAACAGAATCTGAAGACAAAGCAGGACATATGCACCAACTATAAGCAAACCTTGTCTTGTCTTGAAAAGCACCAATTGAAAGACCTTCATTACAGTCCCTCCTGCCCATTGTACAGGTGGGAACACTGAAGCCCAGAGAGGGGTAGTGGGAGGACCCCGAAGGCAGAGCTCAGGGGGTCGGGATGGGGCCGTGGCCTGGTGCTCCTGGCAGGAGCTGGCCTGTGACACTGTGCCCTTCTCCTGCTCCGGGCATTCAGAACCGGGCTCTTTACCCCAGACATGGCCTTTGAGACCATTGTGAAAAAGCAGGTGAAGAAGATCCGAGAACCTTGTCTCAAGTGTGTGGACATGGTTATCTCGGAGCTAATCAGCACCGTTAGACAGTGCACCAAGAAGGTAACCGGCGGCCCAGCCAGCCCCCAACCTCTGCCCCGCCCTGCTCTGCTACCAGGCGCTCCTTCCCCACCCCACCCCTCCGCCCCCTGGTAGCATGTACAGACCTCAGCGGGGCGGGGGAGGCAGGCCACCGCAGTCCAGGAGAGCGGGGCTCTCTGAGGGGGCCTCAACCAGCCCCTGGCCCACAGGCTGGGGGGACCAAGGGATTAGACATTGGAAAGACAGGTATGGTGGTGGTTATTTGCTCTGAGAGCCCACCAAGAGCTCCCCCAGCTCAGGGAGAAGAAGGGACTCAGTCCCCTTCCTGCTCCCAGAGGTGGGGTCATCTTTGGGGTCTCCAGGGAGGGGTCTCGGGGAAGTCTTGGCCCTGGAGACAGATGAGGTACAGGACCTTCTTGGGTGCCGCCCTAGGGGCCTGGACAGCCAGAGGGATCCAGAGGACCCAGGTCAAGCAGGTACCCCAACTCCCCACCGTCCTTCATCTTCCCCATCTCACCCCCACCCTCACTCAGGACCCTCACTCAGGACCCTCACTCAGGACCTTCCCTGTCCCTTCCATCCACATCCAGCCTTCCAGGGACAGAATCCTCTTCCATCTGCCTCACAGAACCACTCAAGGAGGGCAGAGCAAGGCAGGGAAGATGGTATCCATTTCACAGCAGGAAAACTGAGGCTCGGGAGATCAAGTGACTTGCCCAAGGTCATGTGAGCTCGGAGGTGGCAGAGCTGTAACTCCGAGCCAATGCTTTGGACTCCACCCCCCAGCCTCCCCTCCTCTCCCCTCCCCACAGCCGTCCTGGCCCCTCTCTATCACCATCTTCACTCTTTTCTGTCTTTCCTCTTCTCTCTCTCTTTCCAAACTGAGTTCCTCCAGACTCCATTGGAGGAGAGGCACAGGATGCCCCTTGAGGAGAAAGGGAAGGGCCTGACTAGAGCAGGAAGTAGAGAATGGAGACCAGGCAGCTACACAGAAAGCCCGGGAGGCGTCCTCTGCCCCGTAGTCTATGTAAACGGCGCCCCCTGGCGTTGTGCAGTGCACCGCCTGGGCAGTGGGCTGCCACGACCTTGGCACATAGGGAATGGTGCTGGGCTCTGGAGGTGGGACGAAGCAAATACAGCAGGTTCTGGGAAACCTAGCGTTGAACAGAATGGAGGTGAGTGGAGTCCGGGCCTGGGTCAGCTCCTCAGCAGGACCCTGGGCTGTGACAAAGATGGCGCTGGAAAAGAGAGGGGGCAGGCTTCAGGGTAGCTGAAGAGTCGTGGAGCCAAGCCCTGGGAAAGATTATGAGCTCAGTAAGGGCCCTTGGATGGGGCAGGGGCTTGATCCCTCAGACCCCTCCCATGCCCTCAGAGCCCTGGGGGGCGGGGGGGGCGCTTGGCCACACCTGGGAGGCGCCAGTCTGGGTGGTGACAGGAGGGCCAGGCCCAATGCTCACATTGTCTTCTCTCCTGTCTTTCTCTGTGTCGATGTCTCTCTCTTCCCTCGTGCCCCTGCCATCCTCCTCCCCGCACCCTGGCTCCGCTTGGCCTTCACTCCCCTCCTCCTCCTCGCCCGCCCACCCCCGGCTGCACCCCGCCCCGTTCCCCCTCCTCCTCCCGGGTGCAGGACGGGCCTCTTCACACCTGACCTCGCTTTTGAAGCCACAGTGAAAAAGCAGGTGCAGAAGCTTAAAGAGCCCAGTATCAAGTGTGTGGATATGGTAGTCAGTGAGCTCACGGCCACCATCAGAAAGTGTAGCGAAAAGGTATGATGGCCGCCTGGGAGGGGCTGGGCCTGGCCATCGCTTCCCCGTGGCCCAGGCCTCCTGTGGTGGGCGACAACCAGTTGCTGAGCAAGCCCGGTGGCCTCTCAGCTGCCCAGGTGGACCCAGGCCAGCCCGGGTGGCTCCTGGCTCTGAGATCCGGTACCAGCTTCTAACCCTGGGTCTATGGTCCTCATAATTCCTTCAGGTCCCCACCTCTGCAGGGGCAGACTGCTCTCACCCAAGCACCCTCAGTGGTCCCTTTGACAACAATGATAAGGAGCTGGATGCTATTTATTGAGCACCTACTGTGTGCTAAGCACTAGGCTAAGTGCCTGCCCTTGTTATCTGACTTCATCCTTTGAACAACCCTAAGCAGTGGATAGTCTTATCCCCATTTTACAGATGACAAAACCAAGTCTCAGAAAAGAACAGCTGAGTGGGATTCAGATTTACAGAGACCAGGGGAAGAGGTCTTGGATCAGGGCCTCCTGGGCCAGGGGAGCCATCCCAGTCCCTCAAAACTAACTTGCCTAAAAGCATATTGGATTACTCCCTTGATTGCAATCCATACACGTTTGCCAGGATCAGCCTCTTTTGAGTAGTCTGTGACCTTTCAGATGCCTTTTTCCTATTTGTCTACTTTGGGGCATTTGGAGGATTTTTTCACCAGATCGTCTAAAGCAGTCCTTCCCAGAGGCCTGCATAAGTCCAGCCTCGCTTGTGCTTGAGAAAGCTCCTATTGCTGGGAGGTGGGGGAAGTTCTGCCTTCACTTCATGTCTCAAGTAAGGTATCATGGCTTTTGTGGCCCATACACAATTAGTCCTGTGCGCCCCTTTCACAATCCTATCTCACTTTTGTTCACTTTTGTGCCAGATGGGAATGGATTAAGCAAATTAGTGTCCACTCAGTGCCTGATCCAGGTGGAATCAAATCTGAGCTGGATTCTCTACTGTAGAGTATATATCATGATATCTAAATCATGGTCCCACAACATCATGACTACTAAGCAATATGATCTTAACTTTTGTTAAACTAGAAAACACTGAAGTGTTTTGTTTTTTTTTTTTTAATTTTTTGGCTGCACCATGCATGTGGGATCTTAGTTCCCCAAACATAGATCAAACCTAAGCTCCCTGCCATGGAGGTATGGAGCCTTAACCATTAGACCACCAGGGAAGTCCCACGCATTTATTTTAAGCTGCTTCAAATCTCTTTACAAAAGAAGACAATATATATCTAATTTTTTTTTACTTTTGGTTTTTCCCAATGAAAGTGATACATTCTCAAATAGAGAAAATTTGGAAAACCCCTAAGAATAAAAAGGAAGCAACAACCCTCCCTTTCAAGAAAACCACATTGAGATTTTCGTACATTTTCTGTAAATACACTCCTCTTTTATTTATTTAAATTTAACTATTTTATTTATTTTTTCAACTTTAAATTTTATATTGGAGTATAGCCAATTAACAATGTTGTGACAGTTTCAGGTGCATAGCACAGCAACTCAGCCATACATATATAAACTCCCCTCTCAACCAGACTGCCACATGCATGCTCCTTTAAAAAAAAAATGAAATTAGCAGTATTGATTTCATTCTGATCATATATGATTGTTACCAAAATATTCAAACTGCACAGAGAGTGCAAAAGTCCCTATCACCCCAAACCCTAGAAATAAGAACTGCTGGCAGCACTCCTTCCCTAACTAATTACAAATATTCACCAGTTTTAACCGAAGAGACATCACACTGACCACACTGATCCCTGAACTCTTCTTTTTTACTTAATAGCATGAACTGAAATCCTTGCAGTAGCTACATAAAGACTATGCCCTTGGACAAGTGTATTGTATTCCACTGTAGAAATATGACATGATTTACATATTCAGTATCTTATTGTCAGACACTTAGGTTATCTCAACTTTTTGTTTTTCCTTTTACAAACAGTGCTGCAGTGAATAGCTTTATAAATGTATTTGCAGCATTTATCCTGTTGTTTCTTTCGAGCAAATTTCTAGTATAGAACTGGCTAGTCAATGGATGTAAGCATTCACATTTTTGGTAACCTCTGCAATATTTGCCCTCCAGAAAGTTTTCACCAATTTATTCTTCCAAACTATTTTTTCTATACATATACTTATGTACATTATTACGTATTCACACTGTGGATTTATTAGTATCCTGCTTTTTCTCTCAATAACATACATTTTGGTGGGTGTTATTACAAAGTCTACGTGAGCATTTTTAATGATTGCCTGATATTCTATTGAATAGATTTATTAATGTCATGGTTTACTTAACCATTTTCCTATTGATGAACACAGAAATTGTTTCCTGCTTTTCAGTATTATAAATACCCTGGCAATGAACATCTTTGTGTATAAAGAATTTTATTTTTCTTTCTCTAGGATTATTTCCTTAGGACCTATTCCTAGAAGACTGATTACTAGATATAAAAATTGTGAAACACTGCTGAATTGCATTCCAAAAAAGCAGTAATTAGGATAAATGGTAATATGTTGGAAACAACCCAGATGTCCATCAAGAGGATATTGATTATAGTATTATACAATGAAAGACTATAGTTGTTAAATGGGCAAGAGATATTTATTTCCATTCATATGTCTTCCACAATCACTGTGAGGGAAAAAGCAGGTTTCAGAAAATAATGTATAGAATTTAGGGGGAAAGTAATATATATAAATGATAAATATACAAAAAATAAAATACAATATAATAACCTATGTAAATTATAAAGTTCCAAAGGCATAGTTGCTAACCATTATTTTGAGAGGGCATAGGAATTTTTCCATTTCTGCTTCACAAACTTTAGTCATATTCAGATTTATTGTAGTGAGTTGATAAGTTTTTGTAAGCAGACAACTGATCAACAAAAACTTCGGAGAGGAAAGCTTATAAATTATTTATTTTAAAAATTGCCTTTTGTTGATTTAATGCATAGTACGTTTTTGGTTTACATAGTGAAATTTACCCATCTTCATCTTTTTTTTTCCTCCCTAAGTCTTCCAAATTTAGCAAACCCCTTCTGCTAAGGATTCCTAGCCCTGCTGGGCTTAGAGTTTTCATCTCTGGATGAAATCTGGAGTTCGGCACAGGCTGTGCTGCTCAGTCCTCTCAACAATGCCAAGAGGGAAGGTGCTATTATTACCCCCATTTCACACATGGAGAAACTGAGGCTCAGAGGGGTCCAATCACTTTTCCAAGGACAGCAGGCAGGGGGCTGGCTTTGAACCCAGAACCATATGGCTCCATGGCCTGCCTTCCTGACTCCTAAACTGTGGGCTCCAGGCTGAATGCCCCATTTAGCCAAGAACTGAGAGAGAAAAGATCCATTTTAAAAAACTGGCTGAAAGTCCTGGAAATGCTCAGAGGCAGCCAGAATGGAAAAAGATGCTCAAAGGGAACAGAACTGCTCAAAGGGGCTGAGGCTGCCCTGTCACTTGTGACACGTGGAAAACTTGACAACTGTAGCATCCAGGAGGTTAGTGGGAGAACTGGTCATGCTCTTTGGCAATTTGCTCCCTCCCCCTCCCTCCCTGTCTCTACCCCAACCCTACCCTGGGAGGGAGCACTTGGGACCATCTCAGAGGAGGCTTTTCTGGTGGCCGTGATTCAGTCTCGAAAAGGAATGACAGCGCATCCTTGAGCTTTGTGGGGCAGCAGGGTCCACTGGACCCCTCCAGCCAGCATTTGTTTTTAAGCCCCTGGTCTCAGGCTGCCTCTCTCCCAGGTCCCCTGAGCTTGGCCACATGAGCCACACCCTTGGCACAGTCATGGGACGGTTGGGGGGGATGTGGCATCTCTCAAGGCTGCTTCTCCTGGGCTGGCATCCAGGACACTGCTTTCTTCCCCACCCTCCTGCCTCTCCTAAAGACCTCACCCCATCTCCTTGGCCTCCATCTTGCCCTCAGAATCCCTACTTGTGACCCAGACACACTAACCTTCAACTCTCTTCCCACATAGGGGGATCTGCCTGAGAGACCTTAGCCAAGCATAGGAAGAGGGACAAAGTGTGGGTCTAGTTTTGCCCAGCCTGAGCCCCTCCCGGCAGAGGAGCAGGTCCCTGGGAGTAGACTCCCATCCTCAGCAGCGCAGCGAGTCCCCCTCTCTGAGGAGTTGCTGGTTCATGAGCCACAGGGCAAAAGAGCCCATGTCCGCTCACCCTGGCAAGGAGGGCAGAGACATCCATCCTTCATTCATTCACTCATTCCTTCAACACTGCCCTCTTTGAGCACTATGGTGTGCCCAGCCTTGCCTCTGCCTTCAGGGCAATTACAGTCCAGTTTGGTGAGGGAAGAGGGTGTGTGTTGTGGGGGGGGGGATGGGGGGGCATAGAGGTTATCATGGTGGACTTTCTGGAAGAGGTGACATTCAACAGAATCTTGAAGAGGGAGTCCACCTGGGTTTTGTCCAGAGCCTGGCTGAGCTGAGGACAGAATTCATAGGCCAAGGATTTGGAACTATTTCCCCTTTGGCCTCAGTTGATTAAAGACTGGGAGCGGGAGAAGGGTACTGCTGAACTTCTAACCCAAAGGAGTGGGGCAGACACAGGCAGGCTGGCCAGCCAGCTCGGAGCCAGGCAAATGTGTCTGGGGGGTGGTAATGCCAGGCTAAGGCATGCAAGGGAAGCAGAGTTGGGTGGATTCTACCATAAGGGCCTGGGGCCCAACCAGGCCCCCCGCAGGGTACTGCTCATGCTGCTGCCCCCCCCCAACTCCGCATGCCGCCCCACCCCCCATGCATGCCTGTGCCTCCTGCATGTCCCTCGTGTGACTGTTGGTTTTCCCCTACCTCCCCTCCCCCAGCTCTTACAAGGAGCATTGCCTGTCCCCAGCCTGACTCAGGAGGCCAGCTGGCACCTTGGGCCCTGACCTCCCCAGATTCTCCCCGGATAGTAATCTGCAGGCTGTTACCTGCCTGGTTCCCCACCTGAGTGTGCCTGCAAACCTTTGAGAAGGCAAAGGGTAGCCCTGAGGATGAGTGAACGTTTGGGGAGCTAACTGTGCCCCCAAACAAAGGCCTCAATCGAATAGGTCTGTTTCCAAGATGGCTGCCAGCAAGATGGCTGCCGAGGAGCAGGCTGATTTCCAAGGCACTTGTGCTCATGGGAACTACCAGCCCCCATGAAGTTGCCCAGGTAGGCTAGTAAAGAGGGCCCGGACCCGGGAAGACCCTTGAATTGCCATTTGGAACCCACGACTGAGGGAAAGGGGTGGCCGTGGCTTGGTGCCATCAGCTTCCTGGGCCCCCAAGTCTTGGGCATTCTGTGTGTCCCTCCCACCCCACCCTGGATTCTGGTGGACTTTGGATGCCCCCTGCCCATGCCCCCTGTGTACCTGGCTCTCTCCCCTGCCACCCTTTCTCAGCTCCAGCAATACCCCCGGCTGCGGGAGGAGATGGAGCGTATTGTGACCACCCACATCCGGGAGCGCGAGGGTCGCACCAAGGAGCAGGTGAGCCCACTTGGCACTGCCCGCTCTTCCCTGGCCCTGAACTCCTGCCCCTGGGCTCACCTCCTTCTTCCCAGTTAGTCTCTTCTGTCTGTCTCTCTTACACTTTCTCTCCCCACATTAACTTTATGCGTCTCTCTTACTGTCTTTTATTGTGAGAAAAAAAATACACATAAATTTCACTGTTTTACCCACTTCAAATTGTGCAGTTTAGTGGTATTAAGGACATTTAGATTGCAACCATCACCACCATCCATCTCCAGAACTTTTTCATCTTCCTAAAATGAAACTGCCTGCCTCCACCTTAAACAGTCCCTGGCAGTCCAGTAATGTAGACTCTGCGCTCCCAATGCAGGGGGCGCAGGTTTGATTTCCGGTTGGGAAACCAAGATCCTACATGCTGCATGGCACAGCAAAAAAGAAAAAAAAAAACAATGACTCCCATCCCACCCTCTTCCCAGCCCCTGGCAACCACCATTCTCCTTTCTGTTTCTATGAATTTGACAAGTCTCGGTACCGCATATAAATGGAAGCAAACAACAACTGTCGTTTTGTGTCTGGCCTGCTTCACTTAGCATATGTTCTCAAGGTTCATCCATGTTGTAGCACGTGTCAGGATAACTCTCCTTTTTAAGGCTGAATCATATTCCATTGTATGGGTAGATCACATTTCGCTTATCCATTTGAGTTGGTTTTTTTTCACCCCACATTTGGGCTATTGTGAATAATGCTGCTATGAACACGGATGCACAAATATCTCTTTGAGACCTTGCTTTCAGTTCTTTGGAGTTTATTCCCAGAAATGGAGTTGCTGGATCATATGGTAATTCTATGTTTAATTTTTTGAGGATCTGCCATAGAGTTTTCTACAGAAGCTGTTCCATTTTAAAATTCCACCATCTGTTTCTCAACTTTCTATACTCTGGTCATCCCTCTTTGGACCTCTCTCTCTATTTCCTGTTTCTCTGGGTCACCATACACCCCGGCATAGGCCCCCTCCCTTCCTTTTATGTAGTCATCTATCAAATACCCATTCACTCATTCAGTGAGAGGCATGCTCACTGACTGCTCTTCTGGGTTGAGAGGAACAGAAGTAAGCAGGCCCCCTTACAGCTCTCACAGAGCTCACAGGTGAGTCCTTTTTCCTTGTCCATCTCCCTGTCATCCTTCCGTCGATACCCACTTCTGTCTCCGTCCCCAGCCTCATCCTTATACACTCCTTCTCCACAATGGTGCTGTCCTCAGTCACTCACTTTTTTCAATTTTAATTTTGGCTGTGCTGGGTCTTCGTTGTGGCACGCACGAAGCGTGCTTGTTGTGGAGCATGAGCTCGACGGCACGTGGGCACAGTAGTTAAGACACACAGGCTTTAGTTGCCCCACAGCATGTGGGATCTTAGTTCCCTGACCGGAGATCAAACCCGCATCCCCTGAATTGGAAGGTGGATTCTTAACCAGTAGACCACTGGGGAAGTCCCAAGTATATGCATTTTAATGTTGTCATATAGTGCTCGCTTCAGCAGCACATATACTAAAATTGGAACGATACAGAGAAGATTAGTTATGGCCCCTGAGCAAGGATGACACGCAAATTCATGAAGCGTTCCATATTTTTTGAACATGACATTGAATTTAGTGTCATTAGTAGCACTGAAGTCTAAACATTTTAATAATTAATTGAAGTCATAAAATGTATGAATTAACAGCTTTTTAATTTGATATGTTGAAATGCTTCTATAAACCTATCTGACTATATGTGGAAAAGATTGTCAAATCTAAAATATGTATACATTAAGAAGCAGGAAATTGTACTACCTTACCCTAAATTTCAAATCTTAGCTGATTTTTGTGATTTTATTGCTTTTGAGAGAAAACGTAATATTTAACTGACTTTTTCATTGAAGAATTCATGGTCATTTTTTATAAGTGAGCTGGCAGATCAGAGGCTGGGATGGGTGGCTCTGTCTGTGTTGCTGATGCACCCAGGTTGGTGGTCATGTGAGATAGTGGCTGCTGTTTTCCATCATGGTATCAAATGGGATCTCACTTTCCCATGAATTTCTCTGCATAGTGTAGGCCTTTGCCAAATGAAACGGCAGTTTTTGCTGTTTTAGCCTAGTTTTTCACCCATCTACACTGGCTGATTTTGGACTCTTACCTAAATTTAATAATAAAGGATTGTCAATTGAACAGCGGGAAAAAAAAAAATAATGTTGTCATATATTGCCAAACTGCCCTCCAAAAAGGTGATACACGTTTATACTTCCATCTATGGTATGTCTTCCTACAGTTGTGCCCACATTGGTCCCAATATTTATTATTAATTCGAGAGGTCAAAAAGGGTCTCATTTTAACTTACATTTCTTTGTGAGCAAGAGGGAGCATTTTTTACATATCCTTATTGATTATCTGCATTTCTTCTATGGATCACCCATTCAGGTTCTTTGAATATTTTTTTTTTCTTTGACTATTTTAGTTTGTGTTTCTTGTCTTCCATTTATTGATTTCTAGGAACTCTTTATTTATTATGGATACTATTATAGATATCTTTGTTTATTATGGTTTATAGATTTATTTCTTATGGATTCTTTATATGCTGCAAGTATGCTTCTCCCAGCTGTTCATGCATTGTAAAACTCTATGGTATGTTTTCCATTTACCTGCTGACCTGTGTATCCTTGAAGGTCATGCTCCTCATCGATATTGAGCTGGCTTACATGAATACCAACCATGAGGACTTCATAGGCTTTGCCAAGTGAGTGCTCCTTGGTCAGAGAAGGTGACACTTTGTGTGACTGTGTGTGTGTGTGTGTGTGTGTGTGTAGGGCCCAGGCCTGCTGAGACAAGCCTCTGGGTCTGGTGCCCACTGAACAGTAGCAATGAAGCTGGGCCTCTGGAGAGAGGTTCTGGGACTCTCCCTTCTCTCCTTATTAGTGCTCAGCAGAGAAGCAACCAGATGAACAAGAAGAAGGCTTCAGGGAACCAGGTGAGTGAACTCCAGTGCCCCAGCCGGAGGGATGGAGGGTGCCGGATGGACGCCAAGCTCTGAGAGCCCCCTCCCCCGAGGGGAAGGGTCCCACAGGGGCCAGGGAGCCTGTCAGATGCCAGCCACAAGCCTCCCACTCTGCCTCAGTAACCCTCTCTCCTCTCTCCCGATGCCTCTCGTGGTTGCTATGGTTACCTCTTTGCAGGATGAGATTCTGGTGAGTACCAGGACTGGGGCTCTTGGTTTGTATAGTGAGGGGGAGGAGGGGACCCATTTGTAGCAGGGATGCTCAGGGGTCAAGAAGACACCTTTTGGTTTGAGCTGCTTGCACACAGCAACACATGGGTGTCCACACAGGCACTCAGGCCAGAGGCAAGACTTAGCCGTACACAGAGTCCTACCAATCTGTCCTTTGGTGTGCATGAGCTAAGCATCTCCTTCATCCAGAGGGAGACCACATGGGCTGTAATGGGCCAGAATGTTTGGCAGAGACCTGGCATTGAGTAGGAGCTCTTTAATATCTGTGGGATGGATGGATGGATGAGAGAGAATGTTTTTAAGCTGGCATCCCTACCAGAGAGTTGAGGAAAGAGATGAATGAAATGTCAAGAGACTGGGGCCTCCTCACCTGCTCTGTCCTTCAGATCTCTGCTGAAACATCACTTCTCAGCCCCAGTTGTACCCCCAGCCATAGAGTCGGAGCTTTTCCAGAGGCCATGGTGTCTTTGTGATAATCTAGGTGTTTGTGTGCTTACTGACATCATATCATTTCCCTCTTGAGCCCTCTAAGGAGAAGGGCTGGGTCTGTCTTGTTTACCAGTAAATCCTTAGTCCCCAACACAGTGCCTGGCACCCAGTAGGTGCTCATTAGAAGGAAGGAGTTCATGCAATATCCCAGAGCAATTCGATTCAGCAGACACTCACTGGGGCCTACACTGTGCTGGCCCCTAGACAGGAGTCTGACTCTAGTCCTGCCCGTTGTAGGTTGGGCTTGCAGTCAGGCCCCAGGGGGAACACGAGGTTCCCGGTGCCCAGGCTCTGGAAAGGGGTTTTGGATGAGCAGGGAGGAGGGCAGAGCTGAGGTGGCTGAGGGAGCACAAAGGCTGGGAGTCAAGGCAGGAGCAGGGCACAGACGTCTGCTGGTCAGATGCTGGAGATGGAGGGCCAGGGTATGGCATTCGGACTCAATTCCAAAGACAGTGACAAGACGCCGAGGGGGTTCTCTCCAGATGGGGATAGGGTGGGAGAAGGCTCAGGGGGCTCCTGGCTCTTTGTCCCTGTTAACCGTTAAGGCAGCTATTATCTGTGATCTGCTGTGTGACTTGGGCTCTCCACAGGCTTCTCAGGGAAGCCAGAGATGGTACAGGAGGGCTGAGAGCGGGGCAGGCTTTTGAGAGCCTCAGAAGCAGGCTTGACCCCAGAGGGCTTTCCTGCTAGCCTCAGACTCCTCTGTCTTCTCTGGATGCTCAGGGGAGAAGCCAAGGAGGCCTGGGCTTGGGGGAGGGAGTGGAAGCAGCTCCCTCATCCCCTCAGTCTGGCCCACCACCAGGGTCTAGTCGATGGCCCTACCCTTGGAGCAGAATCCACAGGCCCGGATCTGTGTCAATGGCTCAGGACGGTCCCAGGGCCAGCTGTTTCCTGCTGTGGAAAGAGAACTTTGCCCATTATTCTGGGTTTTCCCAGGGAAGAGGAGTCTAGGCAATTTATGCTCAGCAACCCCCACCCCCGCCTACCACTCTACCACCACCCCCTTGTCTGGGACCTGGAGACAAAAACTCCTAGAACCCCACTGTGGCAGCCTTCATGTATTCATGCCACAAATATTTATTGATCACTTACTCACTGTCTGCGGAGCACACTGCCAAGTACTAGGATACACCAGTAGGGGAGAGAGTTCACAGTTTAGCAAGGCAGACTGACATCAACTAGTAATCACACACACACACACAGATTCAAAATCCCAGTCATCATCATAAAAGAAAACGTCAGGGAGTGATGAAAGATTATAATATGGGTTCTGATTATCCTGGGAGCCAGGGAGAGCCTGTCTGAGAATGTGACTTCTGAGCCTATGCCCAGAGAATGGAGTCGGATTTGCCAGCCAAACAGGAGGAAGTGCTTTCTAGGCAGAGTCAACATCAGCATGTGCAAAGTCCCTGAGACAAGTCTTTGAACAAGCTGACTCTTAAGCTGAGAAGATATACTCTGGGTCATGTTGCCCATTCAGCCACCTAAACTCAGCTTGCACACTTTTTAGCACTGGGGAGCTCATCCCCTACCAAGGCCACCAGTTGCCTACTCAGATGGCTCTGACTGTCAGAGGCTCTTTATCCTGAACTGACCTCTGTCTTCCACTCTGTTCATTTGTGGTTCAAAACAGGGCAGGTCTGGCACCCACCCTCCCTGACCAGCCAGGCCTCCAAGAGCTGAGGGAGGGGTGGCCTTTTGAGTGTCTCTCTTTGCCTACCCCATCTTCCATGGGGAATCTTGGCCTCTGTCCACTGACTTCCTGTCCCCCCCACCACCACCTTCCAGGTCATCCGAAAGGGCTGGCTGACCATCAACAATATTGGCATCATGAAGGGAGGCTCCAAGGAGTATTGGTTTGTGCTGACTGCCGAGAATCTGTCCTGGTATAAGGATGACGAGGTAAGTAAAGGGACATTTGTCATCAAGAGGTTTGTCTGGTGGCCAGAGTCAGGTTTAGATCCTACCACAGGCTTGGAGTGGACTGGACCACCAAATTGGCATATTTAATATCTGTTTCATTGATTGATTGATTGACTTGTCTTTGGTTGTGTCCAGTACTTAGTTGCAGTGCAAGGACTTAGTTGCCCCAGGGCATGTGGAATCTTGGTTCCCCAACCAGGGATCAAACCCATGTACCCTGCCTTGGAAGGCAGATTCTTAACCACTGGACCACCAGGGAAGTCTCCCAATGGGGCTATTTAAAAATCCCATCAAAGAGTTTTGAGTGGAAGCGGGAAGTAAGGACTGTAAGCAGGCAATTCTGGGGGCTCATCCAGGCGGGATGGGGAAGATGGCTTGGCCAGATGGGGGAGCGTGGGGGCTGAGTGCCCTAGAGAGGGTGAGCAGGGGTGCTGAGCGTCCCTCTCTGACCCCACCAGGCCCTCAGCCTTCCTGTTTTCTTGCTCCAGGGCGTGCCTGCTCCTCTGTGGCCCCCACAGGCCCATGACACACACAGTCCAGCTGCCAGACACTGTTAACCCCTGCACCCCAGTCCCCCAGGCCCCGCAGTCCGAGTGAGATGCCCAGGGTACCTCCAGCCAGAGGGTCCAAGACCAATGGGGCCCACAGAGGTGCCACACCAAACCTCTCCCTGCCCACCAGGCATAGACCCCCCTGCCACTTCCCTCCCCGGCTGTTGGTCTCCTTTAAGAACCAGTCTATTTGGCTTCCACATCTGGATTCCAGAGGTGACCAGAGAGAGCAGGGAAGGCTGGGATGGAGTTGGGGGGAGCGGGGGGGGGCTTGTGGTAATGAACTCCAGCTGGCCAAGGAGTGGGGGAAGGGACCCTCTTCTTCCTGAGGGGGCCATTGAAGGACAGCGGGAAGCAGAGCTTGGGGTGGTGGCCTGCGGTTTTGGTCTCCAAGCCCCCCTTGGTGATCCCTGCCCCCCCCTGAGTTGTCCCAGGCAGGCCCCCCTCCCCACTTTGGGCGGGCCCCCTCTGTCGTCACTGGCGGGGGCGCCAAGCCATCTGGACCTCATTACCCCAACCCTGGCCTCTCCCAGAGCCCGGGGCCCCTTGAAGGGATGGAGTGTGAGGTGGCGGGGCACGCGGGGGGTGGGGGTCGCTTCCTGCTCTGCTGCCCAGGGAGGCTCCCTAGACTTGCCGTGGATGGGGGGGGTGCCGACTGCTGGCCCCCACAACTCCTGGTGCCCCGATGCTGCGGTTCCTTACACAGGGCCGGGGGACATTGTGAGCTGGGGCTGAGGGCCAGCGACTGGCTACACTGTGGGGGAGGAAGAAGTATATCTGAGAGGGGCCTCCCCGGCCTCGTACGTGTGTACATGGGGGGTGTCTTTTGGGAGCTTTGTGTGTACATCTGAGTTGAGTCATGTGTGATGCTGGCGCTGTCTGTGGGGGTGGGAGTGGGGTGGGCAGAGAGTGCTGGGAGGTGGGGGCCGGGTGGACGTGGCGAGTGGGTGTTTGACAGGAGAGTGTTTGGGTTATAAGCGTCAGGGCGTGTTTGGTATGTGAGGGTCTGCGTGTGTGTTTGGGGGCAGACCATGTGTGTCCGTGCTCAGTGTGGAAGCACCGGTGTGTATGTGTGGCGAGTGGGCTCCAGGAGCGAGGACGTGCGTGTGGCACGCTTGAGAATATGTACTGTATGTACTGGGGATGTAAGGATGGGAGAGGACCAGAGTTCCATTGTGCGTGGGTGTGAGTGTGTGTCTGTGTGAGCTTGTGTGTGTGTGCGGACTTGTGTGTGTACGTGGGACATGGGATGTGCGATTTAAAATTTGAATGCCGGAATGTCTGTTTCTGAGTGGGGGCGGGTGTTGGTGCTGAGGTGAGGGTGCCTGTGTATGTTGGATGTGAGTGGACTTTTTTGTTTTTTGCACTAAAACCGCTGGGGTCACAGAGGTGGTCCGGACGGCGGGGAGGCTGATCTGTCCCCCTTCTCCACCCAGCCACCAGCCATCTGCTCTTCGAGACTTGGGTGGCCCTCTGGGCAGACAGTCGGCCACCCACAGCCCAGCCCTCACTGACCCCCCATCTTCTCAGTCTCCCTCCACCACCCATCAGCACCCCCACCCCATCCCGCAGCAGCCTGGCACCCCCCACCCCCAGCTCCCTCGGTGCCTCCTCCCAGCCTCCACCCTGTGCCCCCCAAGCCCCCTGCCCCGGCTCCAGGCTCCGGCTGTGGGATGGCAGGCGGGGGTCGGTCCAGGTCTCCAGCGGCGGCGCCGAGGGTCTAACCCAGCCCAGCCTAACCAATGTGCAGACTACTGTACAATTTGGGAGTCCTGAACAGATAGTCTAAACACTGGGTAGACGGAGTGGAGGGGTCCCATGATCCATCCAGGCAGCAGTGTCTGTCCGTCGGGTGTGAGTTCGGCCCCGTGTCCCGGAGATGCAAGGCCCCCCAGCCCAGCCCAACCAGCCCGGGGTCCCCTCTCTGCTCCGACTCCCCTTCTGCCTCCTTTGACGTGGCAGGGGCGAGCGGGAGCTGTGGCTGGGAAGGAGGGGCCTGGGGAGGGGGCCGGCCTGCGGGAAGGAGGAGGCTGCTCCTCACTGGGTCCAACCCCAGGGCGGGTGGCGGCGGGGCCTCCCTCGAATGCTTCCAGATGTTCTCTGGCCGTGTGCGACTTCCTCCTCTCCTCCCCCAGCCGCCCTCTGGGGCTCCCGGCCACCCGCCTGGCATAAAGAGGGCTTTATGCGGCTGGATGGGCCCAGCGGGTGGGTGGTGGGTGGGGGTGGGCAGAGGGAGGTGGGTAGGATGACACCAGGACGACAGGGAGCAGGGTCCTCCTAAACCCAGCCCTGCCACCCACCCCGACCCCGACCCCACCGCCTAAGATCCTGGGCGAGGCCCGGAGTCCTCCAAACCCACACCGACACCCCACCCCACCCCAGGGCATGGGCCCGGTGGAGTCTCCAGTGGGCTAAGAGGTACAGGCAGCAGACACCCTTCCTCTCCTCCCAGAGCCCCATCCCTGGGTACCTCCTCTGAAGACCCCGGAGCTCCTCCCCACTGTTTGTAGGACAGAGCAGCCTACAGACTCATGTGCACATAGGCCTGGCACCCACATGCCACCCACAGATAAGCGTAGCTCCTCCCAGACGATACAGATAAACCAGGTTCAGCCCGTTATGTAAACTATATGTACGTGTCCCAGAGGCACATTCGTGCAAACACACAGATATTTATAATTGCCATGCACACCAAAAAAACTGTGCACACGTACAAATATGCTCACCCACACGGTCGGACTGGCACCTCCTCAGGCACCCTCATGCACACACAAGGACACACGGGCACAGGGACAATGGTGAGAGGGCACATGCTCTGGCGGGCATGGATTTGCACAAACACAACCCCACACATTGCACACACTCACCACCTCTAGGCTTGTGCTGTGTGTCTGTCTGATTGCTAACACATGGGCGGCTGTGGGGAGGGGGCTGAGCCAGCCCTTTGAAGACTCCAGGCCCTGGTGGCCCCCCCCCCACCCTGTCTCTCCAGTCAGGAAATGAAGTCAGAGGCTTATCCAACACAGGCCCCGTCGGCCAGGCCGGGGGCGAGAGAGGCCTAGTGTGGGGGTCCCTGGCTGGGCCTGGCCTGGCTTGTATCTAGGGCTTGCTTGGGGCGGGATGTGGGAGCCAAGCTCAGCCTCGCCACCCCGGGCTCTTGAGCTCTGGCACGGATGCGGAGGTGATGGGAAGGGCTTGAGCCAAGGTGTCCGGCAGGCCCAGGGCTCTGGGGCCAGGCTCTCACCAGATAGCGCCTGTGCAGTTCTAGGGGGCTGGTGGTCCCTAGTCCCAGGTGCCCACCCCAGCCCCTCACCCCAGCACAGCGCATCCTTATGGAGTGACGGGGGCAGAGAACAGCGCCAGCCTCACCATCACTCCTTGCTCTCCCTCAGGAGAAAGAGAAGAAGTACATGCTCTCCGTGGATAACCTGAAGCTACGGGACGTGGAGAAGGGCTTCATGTCCAGCAAGCACATCTTTGCCCTCTTCAACACGGAGCAGAGGTGCCCGCCTGCCCCCACGGGGCCCACAGATCCAGAGGGAGAGGCACCTGCCCTGAGCCCCCAGCAAGTCATTCGTTTGACAAACATCTGTTGCGTTTCTACTCTGTGCTAGACTCATGTCAAAATCTCCTCCCTGGCCTGTGCTCCCCGCCCCCATTTCCTTTCTCCTTCCCACCAGACCTCCCTCCCCGCCGCCCCCACACACACCGCCCAGTCTCTCCTTCCTCCCCTTCTGCAAGCACTTGTTTAGTAACTGCCCTGGGTAAGATACTGGCAGGACCAGGCCTCTCCCTTCCCAACCCAGGGCTGACTCTAATGGCTTTCTCCCACTCAGAGATGCGGATTCAATACAGCTGCCAAGAGGGGAAAGCCAGGGAGGGGGAAGTGGGGCTTGTGATCTAAACCAGGGGCTGCACTGTCATGGGTGCCCCTTTGATGAGGGCTCAGTCCCTTTCTAACAGAGGATTTTACTGCTCATTTCACTGCTCATGTCACTCATTCTCACAATGACCCTAAAAGGCAGGAATTGTTCCTATTTTAAAATTTTTATTCATTTATTTGGCTGTGCTGGGTCTTAGTTGCAGCACACAGGATCTCCGATCTTGTGGCATGCAAGTTCTCTAGTTGCGGGCTGTGGGATCTAGTTTCCTTACCAGGGCTTGAACTTGGGCCCCTTGTATGGGGAGCATGGAGTCTTAACCACTGGACCACCAGAGAAGTCCCAGGAATTGTTATTATTAACCCATCTCCCAGATGAGAAAACTGAGGCTGGGAGAGAGGAAGGGACTTGCTGCAGCTGGGAAATAAGAAAGCCAGGACTGGCCCTGCAGGCATGATGACGCCTGTCCACGCGTGCCCTTAACTACCAAGGTGAAGGGGCTTTGCCCTGTCTCCCCTCACCACCGGCCCCACCTTGCAGGAATGTCTACAAGGATTATCGGCAGCTGGAGCTGGCCTGTGAGACACAGGAGGAGGTGGATAGCTGGAAGGCCTCCTTTCTAAGGGCTGGCGTGTACCCTGAGCGTGTTGGGGTGAGTGGCAGGGGAGGTAAGGGAGGGACAAGCTGCTTAAAATAAGGGGTCCTGTGGGGGAGCCACCCTCAGTGATGTCAAGTCATGCCATATTTTCGAGATATTGGGCTCAGAAATAGCAGGGATCCTCCCCCTACCTGCCCCGGGGTGGGATCAGAGTTAAGCCTTCCTCCCATCCTTCTCCAATGCCATTTTACATGACCCTTTCTCTGCCGCAGATGGCATTTCCTGTATCCCTTTCATATGATGCTTGTTTCTTGTGACTGCCCTCGCTTTTCTCCTCTCTTTCACTGTCACAAAGTCGAGAGTTGCCTTCGACTTGGGGTGCAGTGCCCAGATTGCTTACTCAGTCCCTCCTCTTTCCTCTATCTGCTTCGGCTACGCTCACTGGTGGCGGCGGCGGTGGTGGCAATGCTGGTGTGGTGACCTCTGTGGCTTTGGTGTGGGCCTCCCAGGACAAAGAGAAAGTGAGTGTGCCCCTCCCTCACCCTCTGCCAGGCATCTCTAGCCTAGGGCCAGATCTGGCCAGGTCTTTAGAATCTGGAAGGTACCTTGGAGATGTCCTTTTCATGTCCTTTTCCTAATTTACGGACTGGAAAAGTAAGGCAAATTCTACATACTAGAGTCAGAGCCAAGATGAGGCTGAATGAGAGTCTGGGGTCCTGAGAGGCACTAGGGTGGGCACTTGGGCCTAGAAACCCAGAGCTATGGGGGAGCTGGTGTCTTTGTATATAGGCCAGCTGCTTCTCTCTGTGCTCCAGCATTCTAGCCATCCTTGAAGGGGCTGGGACCCTGGGGATGCCTCAAACCTGGCTTTGAGGGCCCAGCCACCCTGATGCCCTCTGTTCTCAACGGCAGGCCAGTGAGACGGAGGAGAATGGCTCAGACAGCTTCATGCACTCCATGGACCCACAGCTGGAGCGGCAGGTGGAGACCATCCGGAACTTGGTGGATTCATACATGGCCATCGTCAACAAGACTGTCCGGGACCTCATGCCCAAGACGATCATGCATCTCATGATCAACAACGTGGGTTCACCATCATGTGGGGGGTGGTAGGACCAGGGAAGTGGGTATCCAGCTTGACCTCGGGTAGGCACAGGCCAGCCACGTGGGACTGAATCTGGGGAGAGAGGCAGGGGTCCAAGCCAGAGCTGTCCAATAGAAACGTCGTGTGAGCTTCACATATTACTCTGTAGATTCACACAACCAAATTGTTCCAGACATGCTTAAATTTTTCCAGGAAGGGCTCAGAATCTGCATCTTTTGAGAACTCCCAGACCATGTTTTGAAATACATACCCCCTAGAACCACTTCCACTTATACCTTAATGAAAAAGCATGGCCCTAGGAAAATTAGAACTGTGTTGAAATCCTGGGTTTGCCACAAATTCCCTGGGTGATTGTAAGCAAACAGCTACCCTCTCTGAGCCTCTGTTTCCTTATTTGTAAAATATGGATAGTAATAGAATTGAGAATTAAGTGAGTATAAAGTGCATAACAACACAGTGCCTAGCATGTAATAGGTGCTCAACGTATATTTAAATAACAAATAAATGAGACACAAGCCAATGGCATAAAAAACCTCCACAGATATTCTCTCCACAAATATTCCAGAGCCTGGACCAGGTAACATTGAGGGATTTTTAAGAACATTAACCCACCTCCTAGACACAGACTTGTATTTCACCCAGTCCTGGCACACATTCACACCTGGTACTCAAGGGCTCAGAACATTTTAAACTGTCATCTTCCTTATTTTGGTCCAGTGGAACATACAAGTCTTTGGAAAGGGTGTAACTACCCATTTTGGGCTTCCCAGGTGGCGTTAGTGGTAAAGAACCTGCCTGCCAATGTAGGAGACAGAAGAGACACAGGTTTGCTTCCCCCTGGAGGAGGGTGTGTCCATCCACTCCAGTATTCTTGCCAGGAGAATCCCATGGACAGAAGAACCTGGTGGGCTACAGTCCATGGGGTCGCCAAGAGTCAGATACGACTGATACAACTTAGTACTCATTCACCTCATTTTACAGATGTGGAAACTGAGGCTGAATAAAGCTTGAGTAATCAGTCCTGTTTCCTGATATTAATAGCCCCTGGGTGTTCCTCCTAGATCTATGACCTGAACAGTTCACTTTTCTTCTCTGGATCATCTGAGAAAAAGGGCAAGTGGGGGCGCGGGGGCGGGGGGGGGAAGCAAGGGAGATCTCTTAAGTTTAGGCAGTGGCAGAGCCCCATACCCGAGCTCCGATTCCTAGAAGGGCCGGGGAGGGGAGGGCAAATTGGTTGGTACAGGCCTCGGGGTCCAAGCCTCTCCTCTCTTTGCCCACTCGCAGACCAAGGAATTCATCTTCTCGGAGCTGCTGGCCAACCTGTATTCGTGCGGGGACCAGAACACACTGATGGAGGAGTCGGCCGAGCAGGCGCAGCGGCGCGATGAGATGCTGCGCATGTACCACGCACTGAAAGAGGCGCTCAGCATCATCGGCGACATCAACACGACCACTGTCAGCACGCCCATGCCCCCGCCTGTGGACGACTCCTGGCTGCAGGTGCAGAGCGTACCGACCGGACGCAGGTACCAGGGCCGGCTCCCACGGCCCCAAAGCCCCCCAGCCCGGGGCCCGCGGGAGGAGGGCCGGGACCGGGCAGTGGCGCGCCCGCGTCACCGGGGTGGCTCCCACCTGGAGCGAGGGGCGGGGCTTAGAGAGGGCGGGGCTTGTCGCGGGGCGGGGCTTGCCGTGGAGTGCTGGCCGCCGGGCAGGGTGGAGCAGGGAAGTTGGAGCCTCTGGCGGGGGGCGGGCTCAAACACCCGAGAGAACCCAGGGCCGAGAGGGGCGGGGCTTTGCGCGCATGGGCGTGGTCGGCACCAGGCTGGGGGTGGGGCCTTGGTGTGGGGCGGAGCAGCTCATCTCTTCCCTGCTTGTCCTTCTGTTTCTGTCGCCCGCAGGTCACCCACGTCCAGCCCCACGCCGCAGCGCCGAGCCCCTGCCGTGCCACCAGCCCGGCCCGGGTCGCGGGGCCCTGCTCCTGGGCCTCCGCCTGCTGGGTCCGCCCTGGGGGGAGCGCCCCCCGTGCCCTCCAGGCCGGGGGCTTCCCCTGACCCCTTCGGTCCTCCCCCCCAGGTGCCCTCGCGCCCCAACCGCGCCCCGCCCGGGGTCCCCAGGTGAGTAGGGGCTGAAAGCGATGGCAGAGATCGCCGGGCGGGCGTGGCCGGGAGGGAGGTGGGGCCGGATCCTGGAGCATCGGCCTGGGTCGCCAGAGCCGGGCCTCTCAGTCCAAGTCACTCGGACCGTGGGTGCCAGAGCCACTGGGGGTGTTGCCGAGGACTGGCGGAGCCTGCCCCCAGGGAGCGCTGAGTCCCGCAGGTGGTCGTTTCTGGGAAGGGGGCGGTGGGGCTCATCCCACCTGCCCTCTTCTTTCCAGCACTTGCATGGCGCTTCCCTCCTTTTTCACTCTCTCTCCCACACTGCATCCCTTCTTTCCTTTCTAGCCGCTCTCCTTCGATCTCCATTCCATCCTCTACTGCTGTCTCCCAGCCCCTAGGGAGCCTACCTCAGGTCTGAGGATCTGAACCCAAATCCTCTCTGGATGGGTAGATTTTGTTCACTTACACTCAGGGCTACCCTGGTGGCCCCACTTCCCCAGTCCTGAACCTTTGGACCTGTCCTCAAGGTTGTCCGGCCTCTGTCCCACAGGAAAAGAGGCCAGGTTGTGACTGTGTGACCAGCAAGGTGTGTGATATGTGTGTGTGGGCGTGCACACGGGTGTGAGAGTATAAGAATGGCACCCAGGCATGTGGTGTAGGGCATGGAGCAGCTGGGAAAGGTGTCTGGGAGCCATGGGAGAGCCTGATGGTTTTCTTCCTTCTCCTTGCTTCTGGCCCCACCCAGCCTGGACCAAGGTGGTGGGTGTGAGGGCAGAAGTTGGGTAAAGGCTGCCGATTCCCAGAAATTTCCAGGGAGAAGGATTCTGTGTCATCCCTTGCCTTTGCCTTCTTGACCCATGATCTTCTTTCAAGGAAGGTCACTCTGATGTCTTAACTCAGTCTGCCCTGTTTCCACTGGCCATGTTCTCTGAGGAAGCACACATCAGACCAATAGCATCCATTTATGTTTCCAGATGGCTGGAGGGGAGGGCCATGGATCTAACATCCATGAATCTAAAATAAAGCAGAGATGGGGCTTGCTCTGTGATGACCTGATGGCCAAGGTGGAGGGGTTAAAGCAGGCAGCATGGTGGTGTTCAGGGACACTGGACTGGAGTAGGCCTTCAGGCAAGTCGCTTTCCCTTCCAGGGCCTCAGTTTCCCTTCTACGAAATGATATTTAACATTCTGCCTTCCCAGGGCTGGAGTCGGGATCAGGGGAGACAGTGACTATAGATAGAGATACCACATTAACTGCAAAAGTGGCCATAGAAACGCTCTGCCAACTTCCAACCTGAGTTCAGATCTCTAAGGGTATTTGAGATGCCCAAGCCTGTGCTGAGGTGTGACATGAGAGCTGTAATATTTGGTACCTGCTACAACTCTGGTCTGACTGACACATGGGAAGTCATGGCCTCAGGGAGAGAGCAGTCTGGGGAGCTTCAAGGCAGCTTGACTTCAGTGAGATCCCAGAGCTGATTGAGATAAGGTTCAGGTGGTGAAGAGCCAGGAGTGCTTTGGGATAAGGAGCAGCAGGTGGGCAAAGGTTTAGTGTGGAATGCATTAAGAGCTGCTGGCCAGAGCAGAGTGCAGATAGAATGAGGAAGAATCGAAAAAGATTGCCCTGGGTGGGGTGGAGCAGGTTGGAGAAACTTCAAAGTCCACTGAAGAGGTTGTCTTGTTGGGACTCAATGCCATGGGCAGTAGGGAGCCACATAAGGCTCTTGGGTGGAGATGTGAAAGCTGGACTCTAAGAAAGCGAGGCCTGTCCCCTCTGGAGCCATGCAGGTGGCCCTCTGAGCACGCCAGGCACGAGTGTGCAGGGAGCTGGTGCCAATTGCCTCCTGTGTGCGGGCAGGCGAGCAAGCTTCTGTGTTGTGACCGCAGCGCTGCGTGTGCTTCAGTGTGCCCAGTGGCTGCATGCCCCAGATCCACGCTGCACGTGCCACCGGCCAGCAAGATTGCTGGGCCTGGGTGGGGTTGGGGGGGCGGTGTATGCGTGTTGTTTGTGGGCATGTGTGTCAGCGTGTGCATGCGGGGCCGTGGGGCCTCACCGCCTGTGTGTGCACGCCCGGGCGTGTGCGTGTGCGTGTCCCCCAGCCCCAGGCCCCGCCCCGTCCGTGCGTGTGAACTGCCATGTTGATTTCGTGCTGTCTTTCAGAATCACTATCAGTGACCCCTGAGGAGCGTCAGCCACGGTAGGTACAGGCCTCTCCGCCTGCTGCATGAACGGTGTGTCTGCCCCCTGCTGCACCAGCTCCGCACTGCAGGGCGCACCTGGGACCTCAGAGGCAGGACCCCCTCCCTCTCCCTTCCCCAGCTCCAGACTTAACTCTTTCCTCTTCCTGTTCTCGCTGCCAGCTGGCTCTCTCACCTCCCTTCTCAGCGAGCCTCGGGACTCAGCGCCGCCCACGAGCTCCTTGGCAAGAGCCTGGGGAGGTCCTGGGTCAGGCTCCACACCCAAGCTGGCAACCCCCCCGGGGTGCCCTCTGGAGCCATCAGGAAGAGCGCAGAGCTCGTGGTTCACGGTGTCAGGAGCAGGGAGCTTGGTGAGGGTGGTGTGTAGGGCTGGACTCAGGAGGCAGAGAGGCCTTGGAACCTCACCCTGGGGTGCCACACTCCTTCCCCAACCTGAGTGAGCCCTGCTGCACGGACGGGGGCAGCCAGCTCTCCGCCGGGGAGCTCTTCAGACCCGAAGAGCTTCAGGGCAGGGGAGGTCCAAAGTCCCACCTCCTCAAGCGTGCCAGCAGCTGAGCAGCAGTTGGGGGGTGAAGGCTCTGATGGTCAAATGTTTTTGGAGGGCCTGGGTGTCCCATCCACACCATCAGCCCAGAGCACACTTCACAGGCCAGGCAGGTCTCACAGCCCCTTCCCCGGCCTCCGTAGTCTCATCACTCCAGCGTCCTCCTCGGCCCCAGGTGGAGCACGCTAGGTAGCCCGCAGGCTTCCCCCAACCTGGACCTGTTGCTCCTAGGGGGTGGCCTACCCTTTTTGGCCAAAGGGGTGACAGTGTCTGCGGACCTGGGCAAGTTGGCTTCTCTGAGTTCTGCCCCGGCTGGGCCCCCCCCCCCCCAAACTCACCCAGTGAACCCGCCTGCCGCTCTGCACCTGCGCTGACTCTTGCTCTTCTGCTTTTCCCCAGCAGGAAGGGCCCAGCCTCACCTACACGACCTGCGGTCCCCCGACCAGCTGAGGCTCCCCTGTTAGACTTATAAGCCTGTGGCCACTGGCATCCGGCCACCTGCCCTCCCTGCCTCCCCAGGGTCCCTTTGGGGGACTCACGGGCTTTCCGCCCACCCAGAAGGGCCTCTAGTGCTCCCTCCAGCCATGCTGTTAGCTTTAAGCCTCCTGGTTCGAACAGTGTTCTTTTTTTTCCTGTCTTTCTCCATCAGGTCTGGGGACTGTTGCGTGGGGCTCATGGCCCCACACCCCCTGAGTCTAGGGATGGCCCCGGGCCAGTGGGTTGAAAGACATGGGGAGGGAGGCCAGAGAAGAGGGATGTCAGAGGGGGCCGAGCACGTGTCTGGAGCTGTGGGTGCACTGCCTGGTGGTGTGTGAGAGAACAGCGTGAGTGGTGGGGTGGGGGCTGCCCCCAGCTTTACCCCAGGCCCCCATGAAGCTCTGGCCCCTGCCCATCTCCAGTTTCTTCCCTTCCACCTTCCCTTTCTCGTCTCTCTCCTCTCTTCCAGAACCCTTGCCCATGCCCTCGTCTCCCCCTGCCACCTCCGGACTTGGCTGCCTTTGCCTTACCAGCTCTCTCCTGCTTTTCTCTCTCCCATTCTCTCTTTGCTTTCTCTCCAACTGCCAGCCGATCGGGTCAGGCAAGTCCATCCCGTCCTGAGAGCCCCAGGCCCCCCTTCGACCTCTAACCAGATCCCTCCTATTCCTCGGAGATCTCCCTTTCCAAGCCTGCCCGGACGGCTGTTCAGTGACTTGACTGTGGCTACCCAGCCCCCAGAGCCTCCCCCGCACCTGTGACTTAGTCTTTTGTAGTGGTGAGCTGACACATCCAGGTGTGACGTTGGTGAAACTTCGTGCCCCTCTGTGGTCTTGCTCCTGCCCCGTTCTATAAATATCTATAAATACTCGTATATATATAAATATACAAACATACTATGGCCAAGCCTCGCCTCTGGTGTCGGGAATCAATCACCGTGCTGTCCTTGAGGAATCTTGTAGCCCAACTACAGGGGAACACTGTCACCCTGACATCCCCCTCCAAAGCGTGCCACCTCCAATGAGCCCCAGTGTCATGCCCGGCCTGTGGACAGCCAGCCCCCCTCTGCCATCCTCCTGGCCCAACCCCCTCCTCGGGCGTGGGGGTGCTGTGCTGGCAGCTGTATGGTTCTCTGACCGCTACCAGTCTTGCTGTCTCTCAGCTGAGAATAAAACCCATTTCTGGACAATGGGGAACAGCGTGTCCTCTGCGGCCTTGTGTTCGCTGCTGTGGCGCTTGGGGGGAGGTAAAGGTTTGAACATTGCGGTGAGGGATGCGGGAGGGCCCAGCTATCGATACAATGCTTTAAGATGTTGGGGGGCGGGGAAAGCCCCAGCCTTTCCGAGGCCTCCTGGGAAAGCACCTGGAGTCAGCTGATCCTGCGAACCCTGCTCTGGCCACCAGGGGGCCCGGGAGGAGAGGCGCAGGCAGCCAGGCGCTGTGGAGGGACAGGGTGATGGAATGGAAAACACTCGAGCCGGAAGTCAGCACTTGGTGCTGTGGCACTCTGCTCTCCCTGACATCAGATCCAGCTTCTGAGTCACTCCGCTATTAAGGCAGGACGGCCCCTGAGAGCCCCTTGGGAGTCCCCCTGGCTTCACCAGGCAGCAATGGGTGACAGGCCTCAAAAGATCTCTAACAGCCCAGCTGGACGTGCCCAGACACCCTGGAGATTGGCACAACCAGAAGCCTGCCCTCTGCTGGCCCGACCCGCTCCCTGTTTAGTGCTCAAGGCACGGACCCCAGGACCCAGTGACAGAAAAAAGGCACATACCAGAACAAGCAGTATGGCTAAATTCATTTATTCAGAAATAAAAAGTGAAACGAAACAGGAGTCGAATCACCCGGGCACAAACCCGTCCCCGCCTCCACCTTCTCTCTCACCCTATACTATTAATAAATAAGTTTCCCCAGCCCCAAATATTTAATAGAAGTTTCTCCCCATTCACCAGCTCCAACCTTCACTGAGATACGGGGGGTGCTGCCCTACCTCCAGAATATACAAAATGTTACACAGTTACAGTATAAACACTGGGGAGGGAACCCACTCCGCCATCAGCTTATGTCCTTGCCTGGCCTCAATTTGCCCAACTCTCTCAAGGCCTGTGAGAGTGCTGCCCAGTTGTCAAGCTGGGCAAGGAGGGGGCACTTGGCCCCAAAGTGCCTCTGAATAGAGGATGCATGAGCCCCTCTGAAAGGACTGCTTGGTAGGGGTGAGGAGGCCACCAGGGAGCCCCTGCTCCCCAAAAAGGCCTGCCTCTTATATAAACTGCCTTTAATTGAGCCTCTGGCTCTTTGTTTCTCTGGAACTATTAACAATCCAGAGATCAAGACACAGCCCTGACCAAGATGGCAAGGGGTCTGCACCTGTTTGTCTCCCCTCATTGGATGGGGGGCTTATACCCCTTTCTTGAAGGGTTTCAGCGTGCTAGTCTAGGGATAAGGGGGGGCCAGGAAGGAGGGACGGGGAGGCAGGGATGGGTGGGGGCAAAGCCCCCGGCCCCATGTCTGTAGTTTCTCTGCCTGCCAGTGTCAGGCCACTAGATCACCATGATCTTCACTTCATCGTTGTCATCCGCTCGGTAGAAGAAGGGGATGCAAGGGTTGCTGCCCAAGCCTGGGTGCTCCTGGGGGTTCTGGATCTCACGCAGCAGCTGCATGATCTGTTGCGCGGTGGGGTTCTCAGGGGTGGCCTGGCCTGGCAGGGCCCCCTGGGGGGACTCCACCTTGTCGGCGAGGCTTACCTCTTGGAGACCTTTGGGAAGAGAAGGCGGCAGGGCTTGGAGTGGTATGCCAGCTCACCCCTGCCTGCCCACCAGTCCCGAGGGCGCTACTCACCACCCTTATTATCGGCAGTGCCGGGCTCCTGGTAGATGGGGGGCGCTGTAGTGGGCTCACCAGCAGGGTTCTGGGCAGCCAGGAACTTGCCATACCATTCATTTCGCTCACTCACCAGGCATAAAACCAGCTCTTGGAGCTCCAACAGCTTCACCTGGAGGGAAAGGTGCTCAGCAGCCCCACCGCACCCCACCCCCACCTGCAGAGACCAGCAGAAGGACCCCTACCTTCATCTCCTCCTTGTCCTGAGCCAGCCGGCTAATGTACTCCTCCTTCTCCTGATGCCGGGCCTTCAGCACCGCCCTCTGACTCTGATAGAGGGCGATATACTCTCCTGCGGCAGGTGGGGAGGGCAGACGGGGCTCAGATGCGATGCGAAGCTGCCCCTAGCCAGCCCCTTGCCCCTGCCCCGGCCCCACCTCCCCACTCACCAATAGTGTCTGTCTCTCCAGACAGCTGGATACAGCGATGCTCCAGCTCCTCTACCCGCTCCTTCAGATCCACTTTCTCCTGCATGAGCTCCGTAAAGCGGCCCTGAGGCCAGAAGGGCAGGGTCGGGGCTCAGCAGCGACCTTCCCACAGGGGCCCCCACCCTTCCTGGACCCTGCTGGGGGGCAGCTCACGCACCTGCAGCTTGTCCATGGCCACCTGGAGGGCCTGGTGGGCCTCCGCGGGCACACTGTCTCCCCCAATCCTGGGGGAAGGGGTCTCCTTTTCCACCCCGTCCTGGGCTGCGGCCGCCAGGTGACTAAGGCGCTGGCAGCGCAGCTTCTGCTCCTTCAGCTGCCCGCGTAGCCGGACATGCTCATCCTCAGCGCTGGCCAAGGCCGAGTGGAAAAATTCCACCTGTGGGGGAGAGGGCACACGTGCTTTTGTGGCGAGCACGCAGGACCAGCTAGGGGTGGGTGGGCAGGCAGAGAGACATGCCCCTTCTCGGGGTCTTAGGGCGCATGCCTGTGGTTGGAGGATGACATGGTGGCTGACCATGGCTCCCAGGGGAGGTTGGGGGACGACCAGAGAAGCTGGAGGGAGGAAACCGCGAAGAAGAGTGTCTGAGAGGAACCACTGGGGGTGGGGTGGGGTGGCGGTGGGGGCGTGAGACGGGCGAGGAGCACGGAGGTCCACTCACCAGGGCCTCTCGGCTCTCCAGCTCCTCCGGCACGCTCAGCTTAGGCCTCGGGGCCTCCTCATCCTGCTTCTCACTGTCCAGTCCATCTCCTGCTGGGAACAGACAGGGGGTCTTCAGACCCCCGGACCACGGAGGCGGAGCAGGCCTGGAAGAAAGCTTGGAGGCCAGCTCTGCCCCAACCTCACTCTGCAGCCCTGGGCCAGCCAGTGGCCGGGGGAAGCGGATTCGCCATCCCTGTGGCCTCATCTAACTCAGGGCTGAACAACTCAGTGCCATGCTGCCAGATGTCCCCCTGCTCCTCGGGCCAGTGTCCTCCCTCCAGGCCTTCCCACTGACCTTCCCCAGGCACAGCCATGAGGGTCAGCTGGGCCTGAAGCTGCTGGTTCTGCTGGTTGGCAGCTTCCAGGCGCTCCTAAGGGGCCAGGGAAAAGAGTGAGGAGGGACACAGGCCGCAGGCCTCCCTCTCAGGGGCCCAGCGCTCCAACGCCCTCACCTGGGTCTCCTGTAACTCCTGGCGGGCCACCTCCATCGCCACCTTGCCCTGGACTTCCTCGCGCTGCAGCCGGTCCAAGAGCTGGGTCTGCAGTAACACCTGCTTGTGCAGCACCTCCTTCTCCAAGGCCAGCTGCTGGTAGGCGGCCACATGCTGCTGGTAGGCGGCCACATACTGCTGCAGGTGGTTCAGGTACACATCCCGCTGCTGCTGCACATCTTGAACCTCCTGGCCCTTCACCTCCACCTGCAGGCAGACCCCAGGGGGTGAGGGCGGGTGGTGGCTTGCTTCCAGAGTCTGAGACCCTGGGCTGGGGAGGCCAGGCGCAGACCCCTCGGCTGGAGACAGACACTTCGCAGGGCTCTGCCAGCTGCCCGGGCCCCAGCTTCCTCTCCCAGAGCCCCATGCTGCCTTCACCCAGCCTCACCCCTCATAGCAAGCTTCTTTCTATCTTAACTCAAAGCTGTGGATGAGTGGAAAAGCAGAAGAGCTTTTCTGGCCAACAGCTGTGAGGTACACACTTGAATGCTTGCAGCTTTACCTGCAGGATTCTCCTTTAATCCCCAATGCTTCTAGGAGAAAAATGCTAACTTCCTTTTAATATAAGGAAACTGAGCCTTAGAGATGCAAGGTTGAAATCCAAAGCTGAACCCAAGGAGCCAGCCACCGTATGTCTATCCTCTCTTCTCTAATTAGGGGCTTGATGCCTCTAGCAGGGACAAGGACCTATGGCATAGGGCTACCCAACTCTGAAAGTCAGAGGCCAGGGGGTAATCAGTCACAGGCTCTGAAGGACCCTGCGGTCACCTGTTCTGGCTGCCCTCCACCTCCCTGCCTGGGGGGGGGTGCCTGTCTCCTAGGCCTTCCTTTGGGGGCAGGAGTTACCGTCTCCTTCAGCTCCCCCAGCTTCTCCTGCAGCTGGCCCAGCTTCTTGGCCAGCTCCTTCTTGATATGCTGCTCGGACTGTAGCGCACTGGTAATCTCCATGTTCTCATTGGACTGCACAGAGAGAGGGGCAGTGAGTGGCCACCCCATGCAGCTGGAGACCCCAGAACCTGGTGTCTGGCTCCCACAGCTCAGGGAAGTGTGGAGCCAGGTAGGAAAGTCCACCCCCCTGCACGGCCTCCCATGTCCCACCAAGCGGGGCTTTCTGGCTCCCAGGGTGCCTTTGTGGGCACCAGTCATGAAAGGTCCGTATCACCCATTCTACAGGTGGGAAAACCAAAGCCTCCAGAGGGGTTAAGTGTCTCAACCCACCCCCAAAGGGCGTGGCCAGGGAGGAGAGTGGGATGGCCAGGCAGGGCTGCATACCAGCCTGACGAATCCGTTCTGCAGCTCAGCCAGCTGCTCCTTGAGCTCGCGGTTCTGGGAGAGCGCCCGGCTGATGGTGGTGCGGTCGTTCTGCATGCTCTCCAGAATCTGCTTGCGCTCCTCCGCCTGCTCCCCCCAGCACTCGGCCTCCCGCTCCAGCTCCAGCAGCCGCTGCTCCTGCTCCTGATTCAGGTGACTCAGACTTTCGTTGTCCTTCACCTGCGCCTGCAGCTGCCCGGCCAGGCTCTCCAGTTCCTTCTGGAGTCGCTCAGTCTCCGCCTGCAGCCACTGTTCTGCCTCTGAGGGCCCCGCTGGGGGCTCCTGGGGCTGGGGCGCAGCTGAGGAAGGGAACACGCCATCAGAGTCTCTTGGCTGGACTGTGTCCAAAGCACCCTCTTCGGGGTCCACAGCTCCTAACTCGGCCTCCTTGCCCCCAATCTTGGCTTCCTGGCTCAATCTTTCAAGACACGTTCAGAGCTCTTTATGCTTCAGACCACAGTGGGCACACTTCACCCCTTTCTTCTTTTTACAGTTTGGGACACTGAGAATTGCAAGCCTTGCCAACTCCTGGTATGGACCTCTTTCCCTGGACCATAATGCCCTTCCACCCACCCACCTGCCATCTTGGCCGCTCTCACCAGCCCCAACACCAACCTTCATCCCCAGGTCCCTGGGGCCCAGCTCACCAATCTGGTTCCTCAGTTCGGCCAAGCTGGTCTCCAGCTCCTGAGCCTGACTCACACTGCGCTCCTTTTCTTCCTTCAACTTGCTCATCTGCTCAAAGCACCGAGATGGGGGGTGGGGGGGTGGGGGCGGGGTGCACATGGAGGGAGAGGTCAAGGGAGAGCTAGGTGACTGTACCCTCACCTCCAGATACACACATCCACCTCCAGCTATGCAGAGAAAATGACATGATGCCCAGGAAGACCAACTGACCTATCCAAGGTGGAGGGGCGGGGCAGGGGGGGAATCAAAGGTCACACCTCACCTGTTGCAACACCTGTTGCATCTTCTGCTGCCATATGGCATTCTCCTCCTTCAGATTCATCACATACTGGTCTCTCTCTGCCTGCAGCTGCTTCAGCGAATCCTTCAGCTGTGAGAGGGGCGCAGAAGTTAGCAGGGGCTATCACAGGGGGGCCCTCACCTGCTCCTGATCACCTAGGGTCTCCCATACCCCTCCCTCTGCAAAGCCTCACCTGCTCCACATGGGTCTCCAGCTGTGCCCTCTCCTCCAGGGCCTGCTGTAACTGCTGGCTGCTATCAGAGGCAGGTTGACTAGAAAACTGGATGGTGGAAAACAAGGTTAGATCTGGGGGACCCAGGCTATTCCACACAATGCCCACCCCCAAAAGGTCAACATACAACTCAGGGTTATCCTTAATATTGTTAGTACTGTGTCTACAAGCTTTATTTTTCACTAAATACTCAGTGTGAACAATTCTGATAGTAAGTGTTCAAAGTTCTCCCAACCTCCCCAATCCAGTGTGTATCCTTCTTGATCCTTTTCCACAGGTATGCAAACATGCTTCACGCTTCACAGTGCAGTTACCAGGTATAGTATCATATATGGTTCTGCAACTTAATTTCACTTTGCCGCAAACAAGATAACTTAGTTTTTATAACGGTTACATAGTACTCCAATATATGAACATGGCATACTTTAACCATACCCTTACAGATGGCAGGAAGGCAGAAACTTGCTGGGCATGCCAAAACAATGAAGAGGAAACTGACCTGGGCACTCTGGTCTACCTGGAGGCTTGGCATCCGAGAGGAAGGAAGCAGAAACTCATGGGCTGGCCTTACAACTATTGGTTTGGTCAAAAATTTTGTTCAGGTTTTTCCTTGCAATGCTATGGAAAAACTCGAAGGACCTTTTTGGCCAACCCAATATCATCCATAAAACAACGGTTTTCAACTAGGATACTTTAAAAATATATATAAAAATAAATAAGCCGTATCCCTGAGCTTCTGATTCCAGAGATCTGGGCAAGGTCCCACTTTTTCTCCTGTCTCTAGAGAAGTCTATGGCAGAGCCAGAACAAGGATCCAAACTTTCTGGTTCCTGGTCGGAGGGCACCACAATGACCCTGAGAGGCCCTGGCTCTGCCAGGTACGACCCGCACACCCCAGGGCTTCAGCCCCACCTGCTGCAGCAGCAGCTCCGACATCTCCAGCTTCTTCTGCAGCTCCTCCATGCCCAGCTGCATGGCTGACTTCTCTATCACCAGGAGCCGCAGCTTCTCCTCCAGCTCTGAGTTTTGCTGCTTCAGGTCCTCGTTGCTCTTACTGTGGCCAGAGGTGACGGAGGGAGGCATGAGTACTGAATAGAGGGACGCTCCCATGATCCACCCATGACTCCTGCCAGAGAAGTCGCTTTGGAAGGGATCCCAGCACCAGAAGTCTCAAGTGGCAGCCCAGAGAGAAGACACGAGCTGCCTGAGGCCATGGCAGGGGTCAGGGGCATGCTGACCGAGAGCCTGGCTCTGCACACGTCCAAACGTGTACCCTTTCTCACCCCATTCCCTTGGATCTCCCCCACTTCCCAGCCCCCGCCTCCCATTACCCCCCATCCTACTTGTTCTTGTATAATTCCAGCTTGAGGGCATCTCGCTCTCTGGTTAATTCTTTGTTGTACTGCGAACACAAAAAGGCGAGGTCAGGAGAAGGCAGGCAGAAAATGCAGACCAACAGCAGCAACAGAACAACTCCCAGCAACACATCCTCACCTGGTGTGAGGCTTTACATTTTTTCAAAGCACATCCAAGCTCATGCTCTCCTTTGGTTTTAGTAAGAACTCGGAAAGGTTGGTAGAGGCAGGTGGGGCGGTCTGACTCTGGGCTGGCCACCGTTCTGTTAGCAGCATCACCTCTGAACCTCTTCTGAACACTTTCTTAGCCAACATTCCCATTTCCAACTCATAATCACCGTGGGAGGCAGCTACTATCTCCATTTTATCGGTGAATGTGGAATATTAGAGGTTAAGGAGCTCACCTAAAATCACTTAGACCTGGGATTCTTCGACCTTGTTTTCTGCCCTGGGGTTGGGGCATGGATACGAGGGATGGATTAAATTGCATTGCAATCTTTTGTTCATTTTTTGAATAGATGGGACACTCACACAGCCCCAAACTCAGAAGGTACAAAAGTGACAGGTCTCTAAGCCACCCTATTCCTCTCCCTTGGGCTTTTTTTTTTTTTTAATATTTATTTATTTATTTATTTAGCTGCGCTGGGTCTTAGTTGTAGCATGTGGGAGCTAGTCCCCCCTGCACTGGGAGTACAGAGTCAGCCTCTGGGCCACCAGAGAAGTCCCTTCCTTGGGTTTTATATAAGTCCTTTCCGACATGTCATATGTATTACACACATGTACTTCTCCCTTTTTAGTGTGGCCACGGACTAAAAATACTGATCTGAACCTTCACAGCCCGAACACCCAGCACCTGAGCCAGAGCCCATGTTCAATTAAAGGCAGGACTGGCTGGCACTCAGGCTCTGGGCTCATCCAGTGCTCACTCTAGGTAGCACTTCCCCACCCCTCCCCCCAACTTGCCCAGGGCAACCAACTCGTGTCCAGATTGCGTTTCACAACCACACAACTCTAAAGCAAGAAATGGCCAGTGCTGCCGTCTGGGCAGCAAGTCACTCCATCTTGCCGCAGAGACCTTTAGGCTCACGACCCTTCCACATGACCTCCAGGGGATGGGCAGGCTGCTGGGCTCACCCTGTCGGCCTGTTTCTGCTGTGTGGAGACGGCAGACAGCGTCCGCTCCAGCTCTCCCACACGCTGCCTGGAAGACTGCAGGCGGTTAGCAAGATCCTCTGACTCCCCTGAAAGGACAGCAGAGAGGGGAAGTCCAGAGAAGGAATCCCACCAAAGGCCTAGCCGGTCCAGGGGTAAAAGGGTGCCTAGATTCCCACCTGCTTTCTGCCTGGCTGCCTGCTGGGTGTGAGTCAGAGCTGTCTGTAACTCCGTCTTCTCTGACACCAGAATCCCGATAGTCTGAATGTGGACCTTTGGGAGAAAGGCCAAATGAGTGCTGAGAATGCGGAAAAGCAATGTTTCCTGGGGGCCACAAGGGACCCTGGAAGAGCCTGCTCACCTGCAGTTGTTCTCTCAGAGCCCCTTGTTCCTTTGCTAGCTTCTGCTCAAATTCCTTCTTTTCCTGCAGAAACAGAGAAGAAACAAGTCTTACTGGGAGGAGGCAAAAGTGAAAGAAAAGGACACATGCCCTGCCTGGGGATGCCACCATAGGTCCAGGACAGGCCCACCAATGAGAACAGATAATCGGCGCCCCGGGAATGGAGGACGGGAGAGGAGGACAAGGGGGAAGCCCCCTATTCCTCCAGGCTGTGAGCAGCCAAGAGGAGAATGGTCCTCTACTTCTGAATCCTCCCCCAAACCCATCAGCCATGGGTTGTTTAGTCGCTAAGTCGTGTCTGACTCTCTTGCGATCCCATGGACTGTAGCCCGCCAGGCTTCCTTTGTCCATGGGATTTCCCAGGCAAGAACACTGGAGTGGGTTGCCACCTCCTTCTCCAGGGGATCTTCCTGACCCAGGGATTGAATCCTCATCTCCTGCATTGGCAGGTGGATTCTTTACCACTGAGCCACCAGGGAAGCCCCATCAGCCATGGAAGAAACAAAGAAATCGCATTACTTTTTCCAGTTGATCCAAAGTTTCCTGGTTCTCTTGTTTCTGTGGGGAGAGGCAAAGGAAGGTGACTGAGGTTGTCCTCCTTCCCCACGATCCTCAGACCAAGGAGGAGGGGCCACACGCAGGGACCAGGAAGGGGTTAGAAAGGGAGGGCTCACAGGGACACGAATGAACGAACGCTTCTCAAGCTAAGACTTTGAGTCTTGGGAGGTTTTGCTCATGGCTACAGCAGCGAGAATCTGGATCTAATTCCCTTGAAGGGACAATGATAAAAACCTCTAGAAATGGAGTCTGAGAAGGTGAAGACCACCCTCTGCCAGCTCGCACTCAAAGTATGTTTGCTGAGCAAACACACCACAGGCCAGGTTCTGTTCTTAACACAGATATGACATGAATGAAAAGGACCTTGAAACCTTTTTTTGAGCTTAAAAGGGACCTTGGACACCCTCTGATTCTACCTCCTCAGGAAACTAAAGGCCAAGGAGGAGAGGTGACTTGTCCAAGGTCAAAGTTGGAACAAATCAGGGGCCGGGTCAAGGCTGGAACACACCAGTCAAGCTAGTGCCTCCCCTACAGGCAACAGACCCATGGCAAGGTGGGGAGGACTCGAGCAGAGGTGTCTGGAGAACAGAGTAGGCAAAGAGGGCAGCCACAGAGAGAGCCATGCTGCATGCCATGCTTAGGGGTCCCTCCAGCTGAGACCTAGGCCCCCCAGCACCCTCTTCTCCCTTGGCACCAGGGATGCCCAGCCCCTTTCTTCAAGAGCTCCAAGGTGAGACCGGAGCCCCACACTGGCAGCATGGATCAGGGGACAACACCGGACTCTTACCAATTCCTCTATCTTGCTACTGAGTTGTTTGTTTGTTAGATTGCTGGAGTCCAGGGCTACTGATAGTTCTTGGTACCGGCTCTGAGGCGCATGCAGAGAGGAGGAGGAGGTGGTGGAGGAGGGGTGGGGGAGAGGTAGAGAGAGCAATCATTAGGGTTGGGGGGTGTCTGGGCTGTCTCAGCTGGGTGGGGCACCCAGCCCCCGCCACAGGAGGAGGTGGAGGGCAGGGCTGGCCTGCAGGGTCACTGGGCCACGGTGCAGGCCCACTTACCTCCAGATTCTTTATGTTAGCAGGAGATGCTAGGCCCTCCCCATTGATGTAAGACGAAGACTAGGAGAGACAAAGAGCTCACATGGAGATGTTCTCTGACCCCCTCCAGCATCTTGCCTTCCCCATCAACTGGCAACATTTCCTCTTCTGCCTAACTTGCCTCCTGCCCCTTAATCCCTCCCTGTGCCAGTTTCTCCTGGTTCTTAGCTCCCCCTTGTCCCTCCCCTCCCAAAGAGCTCTCATCTGCAGGATCAAACGATGTAACCAGTCTCATCGTCCAACCCCTTCATTTGCACAGCTTCAAAGAGGAGACTCAGAGAAGCAATGATCAGCTAAACATTATCCAGCCAAGCTGCCCGGTCCCAGGATCTTCCCTGCCTTTGGGGAGTCTCTGTCTCAGTTTCTTTCTATCATATTTTCCCTCCTACTCTAACCCATGCTGAGCTCCAGTTTGGGGGGTACCTCGGACACAAGGCCGTTGAGCTGCTGAGACAGCTGTCGCAGGCTCTCAGTAGATGTAAAGGATCTGGGGATGAACACAGCAGTCAGGGGTGCAGGAGGCTCAACGGGAAAGAGGGGGTCACGGGGCAGTGGCTTAGGGACTGCTGCCCCTGTGGGAGACACTCACGTGCTTTCGTCAATGGGACCAGAACTGTTGTCGGCATCAGTGTTCTGTTTGGGAAGAAACACAGGAATTGGTCATTCAATTTTTAGTAAGAACCACCCACAGGCACCAAGCTCATTCCAACCACTTTCCATCTCCCTGAAGCTTAAAGGGAGTCTGGTTTGGGGCTCCCCAATCCCAGTCCTCAGGAAGGGCACCTGGCTCACAGAGCCAAGCTACCTGGAAAAAGAGGATGAGGGTCCACAGGAGGTCCAGTCCTCCGGGAAAGAGGAGGGGGGCGAACACAGAGCGGCCAAGGGAGAAGAGGCACAAACCTGAATTGATGCCATGCTAGTGACACGGGGGTGACTAGCACTGGGGGAAGGGACACCACCAGGTGACACGGTGTCATCAGCAGATGGTGTAACGGGAGCGGCGCAGTCTTTGGGCGCCTGTCACAGAACAGAGCAGGGGGTTAGGGGGCCATGCAGGGCAAAGAGCGCCTCGCTGTCACGAGCGCAGGGGTGCAGCGCGGGCAGGACCGGTGTTGCGCAGTCAGCGACAGTGACACGTGCTGGGAGCCTCACTGGGGTGTGGCTACGGCTCGCCCAGAACTCGGGCCATTCTGCCACCTTCTGGACTGAGGCTCAGGGCGAGGGCCATAAGGCGGGCTTCCTGAACATGGAGCGTCATCCTCTTCAGAGCTCAGCCAGAGGCAGGGGCAGGCTGCCCTGCGGCAGCCACAGCAGGTAAGAGGAAGGTGTGCCGGGTCAGAGAGAAGCAGGCACTACTTCTCCAGAGGGTCAGTCTGTGCAGAGTGACCCTCCCCCAGGACCCTGCTGGGCAGAACACGGCAGTGATAAAGGAAGAGAGCATCTGCCTCCTCCTTCTTGCTCTCCCTTCCTTCCCTCCTCCCAACCACTGGGTGTGTCCTCGAGTCATGCCTTTTTTGGGAAAGAAGCAGCCAAACAAGAAGGCTCCTCCTGCCCCTGGAGGTAGAAAGAAAACTATGGCGACTACCCCACCCCAAGCTCCTAGCTCCTAAACACCTACCCAACCAAGAACAGCTGAGAAACCAGAGAGAAGACATCTACTCTTGGCCTCCTGGAGAAGAATCGTGGGTTTGAGAACCAGGGGCCACAGAGAAGTTCCCTCTTCCCCCATCCAGGTGGATCAACCTGCTTGACCAGAGCCCCACTCAGCCTCTCTCCAGGCTCAGTCCTGACTGACATTGAGTCCAAGCTGCTGGTTCCAGAAGGTGAGTTCAATAGGTGAGACTGAAGAGGACTGACGAGCTGAAGCTTGACCAGCGAAGAGCGCCAGGCAGCCAAGGCCTGGCCAGCCAAGGTGGATCTGGAAGGGAAAGGCTGCACCTCTCCTGAGGGAAAAGGCAGCCTGCTCTCTGGACGCCGCAGCCCTGGCCTCTGAAAACTCAAATCTACTGCCCTCCTTACAGCAAGCGCCACAGACCCTGGGGAGCTGAAGAAGAATCAAACTGTCGGCATGGCAACTGTCCACACTGCGACCTCTGACCCCAGAACCTGGTATTGCCTTGCCAACCTGTACTCCTGAATCTAATAGGTAAGAATAGTAAGAGTTCAGCAGCTGGAGGGGCATGAGACTTTGGAGGAGGGGAGCACACTCTTATCCATGGGCCCTGGGGAGCCTGGGTCCCTCCTGGCATCTTGGTGCCCAGGGATCCCTAGCATTAGAAACAAGAGAGCTAAGAAGGAGAAAAAAGGAATTGTCTGAAGACTGAAATATACAGAACATGACAATTTAGTGAACCACCAAGTTATTTCATAATTTTGAATCATAAAACTAAGTATGGAATTTCAAAAAACATTGTCCACTCCCCTCAAATGTTCCATTCCATTAAAAAAGAAAAAAAAAATTGTTTTTTTTTATCCATCATTCCTCATTTCTGAAAATGTCATCAGCTCTGCCTAGGATACTGTAATCACAGGCCTAGTCTTTTTTTTTTTTTTTTTACTAGAATAGAAAACTTAAGCAGGAAACAAGGATTGATATAGAGAGGATTTTAAAACAACAAGAAAGGAAACTTCCTTGGTGGTCCAGTGGTTAAGACTCCATGCTTCCAATGCAAAGGACATGGGTTCAATAATCCCTGGTTGGGGAACTAAGATCCCACAAGCTGTGCAGTGCAGCAAAAAAAAAAAGTATAATAAATAAATAAAACAAGAAGGGAACATGGGGTTATGGGTCTTCATTTCCAGGAGAGCAGACGGATGCGGGCCAGGGCTTCGGGACTCCTGGAGGCCCACGTTCCCTCCCCAGGCCACCCAGCGTCTCCTCTGAGAGCCAACAGGGTGAGTCACAGCACCTGAACAGACCTGAGAGACTGGGCGTGAGCAGTCCTGATGATTGAAGACTCTCTGACTCCAGCCACCAGGGCCCTGGCCCCACCCCTCTCCCCCTGCCCATCTCCAGCAGGACCTGGCCTCCTTCCAGTCGTACTCCTCTGGCCTGGAAGATGTTCCCCAAGGAAGTTAATTAAGGAGGAAGTGCCAACATCATGTCCAGAGGAGGTCATCTCCTAGTCCAGGTGCATCCCAGGCTCCCCTTCTTTCTGGAAAGTACTCTGTGAGCTCTTAGTCCTGGTGGTTACCTGTGACCACACCCTCTGCCTGAGTCCCCTACTCACAATATGGATGAATGCTCCCCACTTCAAATCCTCAAACCAACTTCAAATGCCACCCTCTCCAGCCCGGAATCCATTTAGAACGAACCTCCACCTCAGTTGAGCATTTGGAATGCCGCCACATCCTAGCTTGCTTCTTTCACCTGTTTTCTCCAGCACCTAGCACCAGCTGTCTGCTCTCAATGGCCCACTGAATACAGTTGTGTCCAGTGGATTTTTAAGAGAGAACAGGGGCAGAATGTCCTGATCACTCATGTGTTTAGTGAACCTCACATCCCTTACAGTGAGTTCCATTGAAAAAAATAACCTCAATCCTTGTAACTAAAGCTCCTTTTCTCTTAACCCTACATTCCCTACTGCCAAACCAAAAGGAACCGATGAACTAAAAAAAAAAAAAATCACAAACTGCTTTGTGGTCTACTGGTCTTTTGGGAATAGATGCCCAGGGGGCAAGACTTGAAGGTTTGGTTTTATTTAACCTTTCCTACTACCACCAGGCGTTCAAACTGGAGGCTCAAAGAGCCCTAATCCCACACACCTGCTCCAGAAACTATTCCCAAGTTACCTTTAACCTCCAAGGAGCATCCCACTTTCTCCAAGATGATAAAAGATGGTGGGCGGGCAGGGTGGGTGGGGGGAGGCAAGGGGAAGAACCCAATCAACCAAGCAGGTGAAAAAGCAGACGTTAACAGGCCGAGGGTTAATGACAGCAACATAAAATAAGCCAGAGACAAAGTCTCCCCCACAACAAAGACGCCTCAGGGCATGCAGAGCTGGGAGGGAGCAAGCCAGAGAGGGGGTCGTGGCACTGCCTCACCTTCCACTTGTCCAATGGGGGGAGCGCTACCCCATTGGAGCGGTTAAGGTCGGACACCAGCACCTCCAGAATGTCCTGAATCTACAGGAGGCGACAAGGGAAAAACAAGGGGGGGAAAGAGAAAAGTGGCTTAGAGAGGCAAGAGAGTCAGGAAGGAAGAAGACACGGGGGCAATGGAACGCCAGAGAAGAGAGAAAAGGGTCAAAGGGATCAATACCACGGCCTGGGTCAGTTTTCCAAGTAGCCACTTGCTGCCTTGCGAAAGGCAGAAATCAAGCGAAACAAATAGATGGAAAAGTCCCCTGAACAATGCAGTCACATAGCTCCTCAGATGAACAATGCAGCTCTTAATAGCTTCTTGGACCCTCAGGCCTAGACTTTTAAAAACTAGACTTCAGAAAAAGGGTCCACTTGAACAAAGTGGGGGGAGAGGGGCTACAGCTAAAAAATAAGCTTGAAAGACAATAATCTGATCCACCAGTATCATTTTACAGATGAGGAAACTGAGGCCCAGGGGAGGAAGTGATTGTCCCAGGGTCACCCAGCAAGCTGGTGGCAAAGATGGTCTTAAAATTCAGATGGTCTCCTAATCCAAGTGCCTGAGGCCCTCTCCTCACCACACTCTGGGGCTCTACTGGGGCCTCTAAATGGAAAGTCTGAGGGCAAGAGGCTGTTTTCACTGCCTGGCTTTCTCCATGAGGCTGGGGAAGATCACCAGAGCAGTAAGTCAACTAGCAACTATGCTTTATTGAAAGTTTACTCTGCACCAGGCCCTGTTTTAAGGGATTATTATAAAAATGACGACAATCTCATTTCAACTTCCTTGGTGTAAGACAGTATTACCCCAATTTTACTAATGTGGAAACAGAGATCCAACGAGCTTAAACAATTTGCCCAAAACCATATCCCCCACAGAGGGAGAAGGAGAATTCAAACCCAAACTTCTTAGCCAATATCTGACATTTCTTCCACAATCTTAACCACTACCCTCTACTGCTGCCCCTTAAGTAGCCGCATCCCCAGAAAGCGGCCAGGCAAGACTCACATCTTCAGGCGACGGACAATCACCAGAAGTGGTTGTCTCAGGGCTACTGCCATTCTTGATCTTTCTTTTTTTCTTAGCTCCTGCAGGAACACCAGGGCTGTTCTTCTGCTGATACTCCCGTAACTGTAAAAAGGAAAAGCAGTGAGGCTCATGAGAACTACACGCACCCCTGAATCCACAACCTACTTTACAAAGTTTACAAAATACTCTTCGCCTTCTGATTTAATGCCACAACAACCCTACAAGGGCTGTCGTCCTCAATGATTTGAAATGGACTGCTAACATGGTTAGGAGCAAAAGGCGGGAATAAAAGGCAACAACGGAATTTAAACCCAGCCTTCTGACTGAGTTCTGGGATTACAACATCAATCAGCAGCTGCTAGGGGGCAAAATCAGCAGAAGAGGAAAAGTAAACATTTAATCAGACATCAGGGTCCCTTCTTCCATCTCTATTAGAGCTGCACACCAGCAGTTCTCAAAATTTTACATCAATGTATCCTAATGGCAGAAGGCAGAGAAGACACACACCCCTAGTGAATCTGGGAACATAACAGAAAGAGGACAACCCAAACACATTTCAGACAGAAGTCCATTATAATCATTCAAATCTATGCAAATGTCATCCCTAAGTATATTAGTATAAAAGGTTTTTTCTCTCTCAAGAAAACCAAGCAAAACTGATCCATCAGTCCCATATTTATCCTGTGGCACTTGGGCCACCCCACATTGAGGTGATGATTTGTGAAAGATTCCCAGTTGTGAAGTTCAGTTCCCCTGGATTTGTTCCTCAGAGGAGCACTGAATGCTGAGTGATGGGCCCTCTGGTCTCAGAAACAGAAGGAATTAGAATGTGAAGTAGAAACTTTTGATTAAAAATGTGGAAGTCTCTCTGGATAGAGACCTGGGAGAAATCCAAACACCTTCTTCCCATGGCCACCCAGAGATACTGTCAATGTTTGGAGATCACTGTGCCAAGTGTAGGCTTTTTACACTATCAGCATCAAACGATGGGGGTACAGGTCTAGAAGTGAGGGAGCCTGAAACCCAGGTCCGACCTAGGTCCCACAGCCCCCCGAGTCCCCTTTTTCAAGCTGGTGCCGCGACCCAGAAGGACCGGAAAGGTTGTGAAAACACAGTGGGAACTGGGTGGTAAAATTTAACACCGACTTTTCTCGGCATTAACTACAGTTCCGAGGGGCATTATGATGTAGCCACATGGCACTCATCCCTAGCAACGCCCGAGTCGCCGCTCCGCGATGAAGGGGGGGGGGGGGGGGGGGGGGCAAGGCCAGGACCGAGGTTTTCGGTCCGGGAATTAGAGAGACCAGGGAGCTGCGGAGGTCCTGTTCTGGGCGACAGGAGACGAAGGCCAAGCCTGGTGTGGGAAGCCCCGGGGGTCACCGACCCAAAGTCACCTGGGGGTGACGAGTGAAGGCGGCGGAGACTGGGCAGCCGGGGGGGCGGGGGGCGGGGAGTGGAGGCGGGGGGGGACTGGCTGCGAAGACTTTGTTGGGGAGGGCGCCAAGGGGCGCCGAGGGGCTCGCCCCGTGTGCCTCAGAGGCAGCACAGCAACTCTGGCCATGGCCCGGCCTTCGGAGGGGTCAGGGAGCCGCGAGTCCGCACGTTTTTACCTTTTTCTTGGCCGCAGCCAATTTTCTCTGTCGGGTTTCTTCCGACATCCCGAGAAGGGGCGGGGGAAGGGGGGGCCACATCACCACGATCCCGTCAACCTCTGCGGAACCGCTTCCGGCATCCACCGCGCTGCGGTGCCACTCAGCCCAGAGAAGGCGGTACCGGGGCGGTACTAGGAGGCCGCGGTGTGTAGGCGTGGCCTCAATTCTCTAACACCATTGGTTAATGGGAAAGATACAGGGCGGAGACGCACGGCTAAAGCCGCCGCTTAGCCCGAAAGAGAGGGTGGAGTCACAAAAAACGCTGAACGCGCAGCCGCAGAGTAAGCGACCTCTGTCCTGCCCACCTCGGCGGAGAGGACTGAGCCGTCTCTCGCGGGGTTCGGGAGCAGCTACGCTTTGTGACGTTCCTAGTCTCCGTCACAGGATTCCAAGTACCTGGCAGACCTGAGGAGATTCTTTTCCGTCCTCGCCCTGGACCCTCCTTCTCTGCAGTGCCCCCCCAGTCGGGGGCCCCGGACGCCAGGGCTGAGGAGGTGGGCGAGGAGCTGACAGCAGGGGGAAAGCACATCTCTTCCCAGTCCGTTTTCGTGACGCCCCTGTAGCTCACCTCCAGAGACGCGCCCCCCGCCCCGCCATCCACTCCTCCCTGTCAGAAACTCCCCTTTTTCGAGAATCCCTCCCCTGATCCCAGAACCATTCTCTGTCCCCTTCCCAACCGGATCCAGTCCCGGTTCATAACTGTTCCTCCTCTCCATACCCCCACAGTACCCCCTTCCTCCCCAGGCGGCCTCTAGGTCCAATCAGACTTTTTCCCTCGGCTTCCTCTCCAGGATTCAACCAGGACTTTCCAAAAGTTGCGGCGGGGCCTTCCGATCCCCTGTGAGTATACCTGTGCCCCCTCCCTGCCCTCCACCCTGTACGCTGCTCCCAGCCCTACCCTCCTTCCCTAACAGCGGCTGACCCACCCCCCAGCTGACCTTATTCCGCAGAGAAACTCCAGGTCATTTCTCAGCCCTTCCCCATCATCTTTTCCTCCTGCCCGCCAGGCATCAGAGAAGAAACAGCGTTCCTGTCCTTTGTCAGTGTTACCCCAGACCCTACAAAGGGGCTCTGTCTCTCCTCCTCCCTGACATCGCCACAAGTGGTTGGTCGGTTTTGTTCTTTTCACACCACCCTCCTTCCCTCACCCATTCCACCCACGTGGAAACCACTCTCATTCCCTCAAACACAGGTCCTCTCTCCTGCCCCTACAGTATTTGCATATGCTGTCCCTTGTGTGGAATACTTTTTTCCAGCTTTTTGCCAAACTGATGCCTTCTCAACCTTTAAAGTTGAGCTTCCTCAGAGGAGTCTCAGCTCCACTTCAGGCTCAGGCCACTTGCTCTGTTAGGTGCCCCCTTAGCACACCGTACTTCAAAACACTTTCCAGACTGCTAGTTAGTTGATTGGTTGTTTTTCCTTCATTCATTCATTTGATGAACTCATTTGAAATAGTGCTTTCTATGTGCCAGGTTCCGGCTTCCCTGATGGCTTAGATGGTAAGGAATCTGCTTGCAATGCAGGAGACCCAGGTTCAATTCCTGGGTTGGGAAGGTCCCCTGGAGAAGGGAATTGCTACCCACTCCAGTATTTTTTGTTTTTTCCCACTAGTATTCTTGCCTGGAGAATTCCACGGACAGAGGAGCCTGGCGGGCTACAGTCCATGGGGTCACAGAGTCTGACACGACTGAAGCGACTTACTTATGTGCCAGGTCCTATTGTAGACACAGGGCCATCAGCTGTGAAAAAACAGAGTCCCTGCCCTCATGGTGTTCACCATCCAGTGGTATAAGTCCATCAGTGAAAATAATATTATTAATGAAATGTACAATGTGTCAGGTGGTGATAGATGTTAGAAAACATTAGGACTAGGGGTAGTGTGTGAGGAGTGGCCAGTTAGATAGGGTGGTCAGGGAAGGTTTTTCTGATGAAGGGTGACTGATGAGCCCAGCTTTCCATGGAAATATCTGGAGGAAGAGCGTCATTGTTGAGTGTTGTATGTCTGGGACTAGGCTCTATGTTCCATGAAGGCAGGGGGCCGGGCTTAACATCTTATCCATTGCTAAACCCCTGCAGTCTTTGGCCGTGCCTGGCAGCTAGCACTTACTCATGATTTGTTGACTGGTTAAAAACCCCAGTGTGGCTCCAACCAACATTTCTTGATGATTAGCAGCATATCAGGCACTGCCTTCACAGCTTTTAGATGCAGAAAGGACAAAGATGAACTGTAGCCCCAAGGAAGCATTTTGTTACCCAATTAGATTTTCTTTTGAATATTTGTTTATTTATTTGGCTACACCACATCTTAGTTGTAGCATGTAGCTTCTAATTCCATGACCAGGGGTCAAACCTGGGTTCCCTGTGTTGGGAGCATGGAGTCTTAGCCACTGGCCTACCAGGGAAATCCCCCAGTGAGGTTATAATCATAGATTGGAGAGGAGCATCCAAGAGGTAGACCTGAAGTGGATTCTCTATGGTCAGATTGGGAACCAGGATGGGCCCTTTAGATAAAGTTGGGTTTAGCTGAAAGTGAAAGGAAACCCTGAATAATGGTGGCTGAAACAGTCATCGGGGACCCATGCCTCTATCATCCAAGACACTGTTCAACTCCATTGTCCCTCCATTGACAGGAAGGAAGAGGGCCATATAAAGGTGTACCCTCTCCCCGGAAGGACAGTTCCCAGACATAGAACCTATTTCTGATTAAGTTGCACTTGCCAGAACTTAGTTATAGGACCACATCTAATTCCAAGGGAAGCTGGGAGATGTAGTCTTATTGTGGGTGGAGGTTGTCTGTTACCACCCTGAAGCAGGGAGTGGCTTTGGGGGGGCAACGTGAAGGTTCTCAATTGTAGATAATTGGTCAGTCTGGCTTGTGACTTTTTGTGCCACTCAGCGGCCATCTCCCAAACCTGGCCAGGCTGACAGGGTCAGCGAGGAGTCTCTACACCTTGACATTCAGAAACTCAAGGAGAAAAAGGACATGTTGGACAAGGAGATCACCCAGTTGTTATCAGAGTAAGTCTCGTTGGGTTCTTCAGTGTGCTTAGAATAACTTTTTTTTTTTTGGTGTGGGTGGGGGTCACACCATGTGGCTTGTGGGATCTTAGTTCCCCAGCCAGGGATTAAACCCAGGCCATAGCAGTGAAAGCACTGAGTCCTAATCACTGGACCACCAGAGAAGCTCTAGAAAACTTTTTAACTAGTGCCCAGTAACTCATGGATGAGGATAAGAGGCTTGCTCAAGCTTCCTGATGGGAAGTGGGTGGCAGAGGATGAGATGATTAGATAGCATCACTGACTCGATATGGACATAAGTCTGAGCAAACTCAGGGAGATGGTGAAGGACAGGGAAGCCTGGCGTGCTGCAGTCCATGCGGTCTCAAAGAGTCTGAAAGGACTTAGCGACTGAACAACAGCAATGGTAACTGAAACCTAGCTTAGCATAAAAACAGGACTGCGCCATTGGCATCCAGCAGCCTCAACAGCTGTCTCAGGTAAGGTGTGGTCAGGCTCGGGAGGACTAGGGGAACTGGGAGCTGAAAAGCTATGGCTCTCCCACTCTCTGTCTGGAACCCATGGTCTCTGCCTCTGCTTCTGTCCACACATGGGCTCTGCCTCCCCTCTGAAGGTGGGTTTTCAGTGCCAAGGGGACGCTGGCTCTTCCATACCTTCTGCGTTTTCCCATGCTCCTTGCTGTAGCCACAGACCGAGGAACCTTTGAATACCCGTGCCACGCTTGAGGGGATTTGACTAACCACTCATGTACCCATCTGTGAATCCCTCAGCTGTGACCAGGGTTACATAATACCAGTGTGCCTGGAGACCCCTCCCTAAGGATACAGGGAGAATTTGCCAGGAGTGAGACAGTGGGCAGATCCCCTGCCCTACCTTAAGCTTCACAAGGGCAGGGTCTGTCTCGGCATTGCTGTGTTCCCAATGCTGAACACCCAGTCGGCCCTTAGTGAGTAAAGGCCTTATTACCTCTGCAGCTGGAAGCCTTATCAGCTTTCTTAGCGATTCTCTCTCTCTCCCCCCATTTCCCACCCCAGAGGCTACAGTGTAGATGAACTGGAGGACCACATCTCCCAGCTCCACGAGTATAATGACATCAAGGATGTGGCCCAGATGCTGCTGGGAAGGCTAGGTAAGAGAGTCCCCATGGGCCAGGTTGGTGGGATTTTGCCCCTGGGTCTTTTGACTTGCCAACCCTCATCCCACCCCACCCCCAGTGTTCTCAGCTGCTGTGCTCCCTGAACGCCCCTGCCCTTACTAGCAGACCAGCTGTACGGCTCTTATTGAGTCCCTGGGGTTCTTCCCCTCATGTGTAGAGCTTGCTTTGGAGCTGCAGGCAGGTTGGAGTCTGGGACTTGCCCGCCTGCCTGAGGACTTGGGTTCCTAGTGCCCCAGAGTCTACTTGACCAATGGAGACCCCAGCCTTGCCTCAAGTGGCTGGCATGCTACAGAGGCAGAAAGTGCAAGGGTGACTCTTGGCTTAAAGGGGTATTTTGTTCTTCTTTGAGCACAGTACCCACTATCCAGAGATCTGAGCCAGGGCACAGGCACCTGGGGGTAAGGAAATGTGAATGTGTATGTGGCCTCGGTCCCATCACCTGGCTTCCATTGTTGGACATGCTGATGTTTGACTGCCAGTGTCCAGCTGGGACAGTGCTCAGAGCTGGGCTGTCTGACCACCGGCTGCCTCATTGGTAGCACTTGTCACAGAATTCCCCATCAACATCTGAGATCCCATAGCAGAAAGGGCTTCTCCATATTTCACTGGGGAATGGGTCCCTTAGGAGGGGAGGGAGAAAACGGAAAGAGGGAAAAAGAAGTGAAAAGAGGAGGATGATCTGGGCCCAAGAAGAAAGGAATGTGGGGACTTCCCTGGTGGTCCAGTTGCTAAGAGTCTGTACTCCCAATGCAGGGGGACCAGGTTCGATCCCTGGTCAGAGAACCAGATCCCACGTACCGCAACCAAGAGTTTGCAACTAAAGATCCCGTGTGCTGCAAGTAAGACCTGGTGCAGCCAAATACTAAAAAAAAAAGAAGGAAGGAATGCGAGGGGACTGTAGCCTAGAGCCCAAGGGCAATAAACTCTTGGTAGACAGAACCCAACTTGAGACCTGTCCCTCTGGGTCATAGGACCTGGAGCAGGCAGCCTACCTTCTTTCATTCATTCAGTGAGTATTTCCTGAGCACCTGCTCTGTGCTACTCCACTGGATATGGGGACACTTTGGTGAACCAGACATCTGAATGTCTCTGTTCTCACATGACTTATGTTTTGATGTTGGGGTTGGAGAGGGGAACAGTTGCGAACTAAACAAACACAAATAAATGAATTATAAAATGTGTGAGGTGCCCTGAAGGAAACAAAGGTCAGAGATGGAAAATACTGAGGTGTGCACAGGGTGGCAAGTGGATGAGAGAGTGGTCAGGGAAGACCTTCTCAGGAGACAGACCCCTTTCCGTGGGAGGAGAGATGAGTCTTTGAGGAAGCAGGAGGAATGGCATCACCAGATGGCAAGGGGAGAGACTTCTCTGGTGGTCCAGTGGTTAGGACTTCACCTTCCCATGCAGGGGATGCGGGTTCAATCCCTGGCGGGGGAGTTAAGATCCCACATGCCTCCAGGTCATAAAACAGAAGTGATACTGTAACAAATTCAGTAAAGACTTTTAACATGTGCTGTGCGCTCTGCTAAGTTGATTCTGTCACGTCAGACTCTTTGTGACACTATGGACTGTAAGCCCTCCAGGTTCCTTTGTTCATGGAGTTCTCCAGGCAAGATGACTGGAGTGGGTTGCCATGCCCTCCTCCAGGGGATCTTCCTGACCCAGAGATCGAACCCATATCTCTTACATCTCCTGCATTGGCAAGTGGGTTCTTTGCCACCTGCTCCACATTAAAAAAAAAAAAATCTTAAAAAAAACCTAGTGGTCAGACATGCACATGGGCCAGGGCTTGCAGTGTCACAGATACAATGTCAGTTTAGATTTACATTTTCAGCTCGTGACTCTCGTTGCTCTGGGTGGAGAAAGGATTCTGGGGGAGCTTTGTTTGACTCCTCTGCCAAGTGGGTGAAGATTCAGTGAGTCCAGTTTGGAGTGAGTGGACAGGGCTCACAGTGGAGGAGCCTGGAAGGAATGGCAGGAAGATTATATGGCCAAGAAGAGGAGCAGGAAAAAAGTGCAGGAGGGGGTCCTGGGTGGGCCAGGGCTTTGGTCATTCTCCCTCCCACTTCGCTCACTGGACATCCTTCCTTCCTTCCAGCTGTGATCCGAGGTGTCACCACCAAGGACTTGTATCCAGAATTTGGCCTAGACATGAATGACTGAGCTCACAGCCCTTTGTCCACAGCCCACTGAGACAGGCAGATGCGGACATGAGAAGAAGCAGTGAAAGCCCAACCAGAGAACCCACAGGCTTTCCGCAAGAAAACATCAGAAGCCCTCTTTCTAGAGAGCCCAAGCTGAGTCAGGAGGGAGCCAGAGAAGAAGGGGAGCAGGAAGAGACCCCAACTCCAAGGTTCCCGAAACATTCCAATGATACCTGTGTATGTGTATATGTATCCTGTTTATAAATAAACATGAGCGATTTTGGTTCAAATCTATATGCTGATTCCCTCTCCTCTGATAGCCCCCTGATCATAACCTGGAAAAAGAGGGCCTGCCCTATGTGATAACAGGGCAGGGACTGTGCTAAGTGCCTTATATCCATTACCTCCAATGCTTCAATCCATCCTATGAGGAATTAGTATTACTATCTCCATTTCACAGATGAGGAAACTGAGACTCAGAAAGGCACAGTGACTTGCCTAAGGTTAGACATCCAGTAAGTGGCCAAGCAGGAATTTGAGCCCAAGTCTTTAACTCTGAAGCTTCTAGTGTGCAACTCTGCCTTTGTGAGCTGGGAAATGAGCAGGTAAGAGCTGAGAGTGAAATAGCAACATTGGGAGGAATTTGTCCCTGATCCACAGAATTGGAGTTCCAGTCCCCTGTTGAAACCCTCTGCCAAGTGTGGGTGAGCCATGGTCATTCCTTCATTGCGCGATGCTCACCATGAGCAGCCATCAACTGGCAGAAGTGCAACCTGATTGTTGTGACTGCTCAGTGCAAACAAGAATCGCAGGAACTCACTATTAACTAGTTATCCTGGCTATTCCCACTGCCCCTCTGCCCTGTCCGTACTGAACATTCTCATAAGATTTCAGATGTGATAGCAGTGCTTGGGGACAGGCTGTCATGAGGTAAGTATAGTCTCTATCAATAAAAACCAGCCATGCAAGTCAGGTCTGGGTTTGAATTCCAGCTCTGCCCACTTAGAAGCTGTGTGACCATAGGCAGCTAGCTTGGCCTCCATAAATAGAAATTATAATAGTACTGTACGCATCAGGGCAATTTGTCTTAGCTGCCTTAACAGTCAGACCTCCTTGTTAGTCACTCAGTCATGTCCGACTCTGTGACCCCATGGACTAGCCTGCCAGGCTCCTCTGTCAATGGGATTCTCCAGACAAGAATACTGGCGTGGATAGCCATTCCCTTCTCCAGGGGATCTTCCCGACCCAGGGATCGAACCTGGGTCTCCTGCACTGCAGGTAGATTCTTTACTATCTGAGCCACCAGACTTCTTGGCTGAATGTGATCAAGGTTCTGTTGTCTCACAAAGTCTGATGAGTGTCTGGTAGCCCTCCTACATTTCAGAGCTTCACTGCTGGAATCCACAGTGGGGGTAAAAGAGATGGAGAAGACACATCAGCTCTGAACTGACTCTCCCAAATGGGCAGACGTCACTTCTCACAGACAAATGTTCTAGAGCTGGCTATGTGGCCTAAACTGACTGAAGGCACCTGGGAAATGAGGCTGAGCACCCGGATATTTGATGGGGACTAGATGCTGTTGGAGCCACAAGTACTACCTCCAAAGAGTGCTTCAGGGATTTAATGAGCAACTGCCTAGGACCCAGAGCCTGGGAACGTGAGTCCAGCTCCTCTTAAATGCTGGACAACAACTTGTCCTGCTCAGGGGACGGCATGACCCAGGCCCACACTCTGGTCCTGTGGCAGGCTGCAGACAGTTGGCTTGTCCTGCCTCTGTCTGAACAAAAAGGACCTGGCTCTCTGCCACACAGTGCTTATCTGCCAGCAGTTAAGGAAGAAGCACTGACAGGGACTTCCCTGCTGGTCCAGTGGCTAAGACTCCGTGCTCCCAACGCAGGGGGCCCGGCTTTGATCCCTGCTTGGAGAACTATGTGGCACATCCCACATGTGGCAACTAAGAGTTCGCTTGCCTCAGCTAAAGATCCCAAGTGCCACATACAGCATGCACAGTTATTACACTGTCATCAGTACAACAGCTACAGGACCATGTCTCCACACCTCCACCACTTCTTACTTGCTTAGTTCTCAATCTAGCTCATGTTGACCTTTCTGTAGTTAACTGATCCTTTCTTTTATTTCTCCCACCTCATTTTGGTATCTAATTTCAAATCTTACAACAGGATATCTTTACCTCTTTCCTTGATACTAGTCATTTTGCTTAACTCTAACCTTATCTTCAATTCCAAAAATTACTAGAAAGTAAGGACATTTCTCCCTAGTCCACTAAAACCCCTGCCTCGTCACATTCTGTCGTGTTTTCTTTTGTTTATGTCTTTGTCACCTAGCTTGTGGGATCCTAGTTTCCCAGCCAGGGATGAACCCAGGGCCCCTGGGCAGTGAGCACGCAAAGCCCTAACCACTGGACCACCAGGGAATTCCCCCTGTCTCTTTGCAAATTATAGATCTCTAACGACTATGTGCTTGTTTTTTTTTTTTTTAAAGACTGTATTTTGTTTGTTTGTCTTTGGCTGCACTGGGTCTTTGTCCACTGCCCATGGGCTTTCTCCAGTTGCAGTGGGTGGGCTTCCATCGCGGTGGCTTCTCTTGTTGCAGAGCATGGGCTCTAGGCGCATGGGCTCGGTAGTTGTGGCACATGGGCTTAGTTTCCCCAGGGCTTGTGGGATCTTCCCCAATGAAGGATCAAACCTGTGTCCCCTGCATTAGCTGGAGGATTCTCAACCACTGGACCACCAGGGAAGTCCTATGTGCCTGTTTTCTGATGATTGCCCTGAGTTGTATTTCTTCCGGAAAGCAATATAAGGCACTAAGGTAGGTTCCAAGTTCTCCAGTTGAGAAGGACTACATTACCAGTGCTCCAGAAACTTTTGCATTTGGGGCCAGTTTTAAAGACACCCTTGGAGGATGCTTGGAAAGTACCACCCAGGTCCCTTTGTGTGAGGCCAGTACTCCCAGGTGTCATGGTGGGAAGAGGCCTCAAGGGGGCAGTGTCTACTCAGAGATATGCCTGACTGCCAGGGAAGCTGCCTCCCGAAGGGCCCTGGCTGGGAAGGTCTGGTCCTACCAAGCCACTGGCCACAGATCCTCAGAGTGCCCCACAGAGAAGAAGGTGGGGAATGTGGACCGTGACGGGTGCCATTGCTCAGGACGTGCCCAGATGGTGCTAGGAAACAGTTTGACAGCTGACACTGTGAGAGTGGAAATGTTTGATCACCTCCAGTGTAAACCTTACCCCAAAACATTTGTCATTTGACACGTCCACTGGAGTTCAAAACACTAACAAAGGGCATTCTGTATTTTCATTCCTGAGGGCTGAAAGAGGTCATTTCCAGGCAGCCTGACATCACCAATGCAGTGTCACCAAACAGTAGGACACCTTGGGGAGGGGAGGAAGGCCAGATTGGGGCCCTCTTCTATGGGAGAACGGAGCCTGTGGGGCCCCAGGCTTGATGCCTGGGGCCAGTGTGATGAAAGCTCTGGTTACCGTCAGGCACGTGGGTAGCAAATCAGGGGAAAGGTGACAACCACCACCCAAACCAGTCAGAAGCTGGTTTCCCCAGAGCAGGGTTGACGGCAGTAACAACCTAACATTTCTGAAACCCTTGGATCAGCTGGGAGATAAGAACTTCATCTCCGTCTCCATCACCTCCCAACCAGACTGCCAGGAGGTGGAGTGTCCCCATTTCCAAACTGAGACTCCGAGGGGTGGAGCAACTTGCTCAAGGTCACAGATCCAAGAAGCAACCAAACTGCCTGGTTCCAAAGCCTAGCCGATGGTGGGTGGGCTGTCCTGCCTCCCAGCTGAGTCTCACCAAAGGTCACACATTAATAGGAGTCAGAACTTGAATCCAGAACTCTGAGCCTTTAAGCCCAAGGTCTTAGCCACAGATCTCTGCTATGCTTTTTAGAAGTTGTACCTGGGATTTCCCTGGTGGTGCAGTGAATAAGAATCTGCCTGCCAAAGCAGGACACACGGGTTTGATCCCTGAGCCACAACTACTAAGCCTGAGCTCTAGGGCCAGTGAGTCACAACTACTGAAGCCTGCGTGCCTAGAGCCTGTGCTCCACAGCAAAAGAAGCCACCGCAATGAGAAGCCCCCACGCCACAACAAAAGACCGTGCAAAGCAACATAGACCCAGCATAGCCATAAATAAATAAATTTTTTTTTTAAAAAAAAGGTTATACCTGCCCAAGCGCTTCCCAGGTGGCGCTAGTGGAAAAGAACCTCCCTGCCAATGCAGGAGACTTAAGAGACATGAGTTCAATCCCTGGGTCAGGAAGATCCCCTGGAGGAGGGCATGGCAACCCACTCCATTATTCCTGCCCAGAGAATCCCACAGACAGAGGGGCCTGGTGGGCTATAGTCCATAGGATCGTAAAAAGTCGGACACAACTGAAGCAACTCACATATCTGACCAAAGATCTGACCTAGAGGCCAGGCCAGTGACCAAAAATGAACAGCCTCACTCAGCCTTGAGTTTGGCATTGGCCCCTCTGTCCTGATTCCTGAGGAGGAGGTTTTGCTCCTTTCTCAGAGAAGGGGAAGAGGTGGAAGCAGTGACAGATTTCCTCTTCTTGGGCTCTAAAATCACTGCACTGTGGATGGTGACCACAGTCATGAAATTGGAAGACAATCGTTTCTTGGCAGGAAAGCTATGACAAACCTAGACAGGGTGTTAAAAAGCAAAGACATCAGTTTGCCAACAAAGGTCCGTCTAGTCAAAACTATGGTTTTTCCAGTGGTCATGTATGGATGTGAGAGCTGAACCATAAAGAAAGCTGAGCGCCAAAAGAATTGATGCTTTCGAACTCTGGTGTTGGAGAAGACTTTTTTTTTTTTTTTGGAGAAGACTCTTAAAGAGTCCCTTGAACAGGAGATCCAACCAGTCAATCTTTCTTTTTCCCTTAATTATTTATTTGTTATTTTTGGCTGTGCTGGGTCATCGTTACTACGCCAGCTCTTCTTTGGCTGCGGTAAGCGGGGGCTACTCTCTCATCGC